TCAGTTCTCTTAAGTGTATGTCTGTGTTCTACAGAATTTCAAAATGTATCTACATTTCTCTTCCTATTTAAATCAGGCCCAATGCACACACGAACAGCCATATGGTTAGAAATAATCTCCTTAGACAAAGATCAATGTGTATCCAAAATAACATATACTTCATTTTCTTCTTCTCCCTCTAGCATCATGCCCATCAGGCTGCGTGGTGCCTGAGTTTACCAAGGCACTAGTACTGGCCTGAGTTTTGCCCCCTGTGCCCCAAAACTAACCCAGGGCACACAGAAGACTTGTGATCATGGGTGTTGAATAACCGTCGCAGTCTCTGGCTGACTTTCCTGGTCAGTTCCATTAAAGGTCAAACACTAATTTTGTTTGACTCGAACCAAGAGGGATGAACGAGAAGCTTCCCAGAGAAGCAAATTCACTGAGTGGCCTCTGTACCGAGCGGGGGGAAGGATGACCAGCTTTCGAGGCTACTGCTATACTTGAATAAGGTGATATTGGATTACCTTAAAAAGGTTTAACAGAACCTTTGAACCTCAAATACAATATATCTCTGGGGGGAAACCTTTCTCCCTGCACTCTACAAAGACGGTGTTGTTTTCCAGGCACGAATGCTCTTCTGTTGAATCCGGCTCAACCATCGCAGAGACACGCTGAAGTGGGTGTGGGGTGTGCTGAGTGGGAGAGATCACTCTGAATAAGGCACCCACACACCTGCTTTGTGAGTGGTTTATCATTCCTCCGAAAAGCTGACTAGGACTGGGGTAAAGATAAGGAAAAACTATGAGTTTGGCTTAAAAAAAAAAAAAAAAAAATCTGTGGCTTTCTGTTTCCTGGGGTGCTGTGTGGCCTAATGACATGTAAGCAATCTGAAATGTACCAGTTCGATCAAGGATTGCTAAAAAGATCAATCGGTTCTCACTAGAAAGCACAGCTAAAAGTAAGAGGAGTAAAAGCAAGCCGCATTTTCAACGGCCGTGAAAGAGCAACCCAGGCCCTAAACCAGAAGAGAGAACTGAGTGAATTATACAATTTCACAAAGGTCAAGAAATATAATTACTCAACAGCACATGACTGCAAACTCTAGGAGCAATATGTACTTTATTTTCCCCTACAAAATGAATTATTGAAAGGGGTCATGTGGTTCTTAGCAGGCAGAAAGATGCACTTTCCCAAGGAAAGTTCATCATTAAATATATCATTTACGACGGGATCGTCTTCAGGCTATTTTTAATCTTATCATTCTGCTGCCAAAATTGGCCATTAGCCGCTGATCCTCAGCCACTGGAAAAGTGATGCTTTTCCATGTATTTTGTACACAGGCATGAGGATGGTATTGCTTTCCAGCTAATCAAATGTTTTGGTAGATGTGGACGAGATACAGAAAAGAGAAACTGCTTGTTGACCAACTAATAAAAAGGAAGCTACCTCTACTGGATGTGGAAAAGTAAGTTTCTGTCTTCCTAAACCACAAAGACCAAAAAAAAAAAAAAAATGCGCACCACCATCTCATCAACAGAATGAAGCCAGTCTCCTGGTAGTCCACACACCACTCTCTTCTAAGACATGAAACTAAATATCACATTTCTCAGTGTGGAGGGTGCTGTCAATCTTCACTCACCATCACCTTGCCCGGACCCCAATCCTTCTCGTCTTGAAGCAGTGTTGGAGCTACTAAACCCATCTGTGTTACAAGGGGATAAAATAATAACTAGCGCAGCTATTAAAACAGTTAAATCTCCTGCCTTTCATTGGAGCAGAAAAGCCATCTTGCTTTTACGGGCGACGCCAACACAAACGATAGAGCTACCATGAAAAACATTCTGGAGAAGAATGAGCGTATCATAATTTATCTCCTACCGCCTTCATTCCAACCTGTTTCTCCCAAGGGTCAGGTCTAGTGGCCATCTGGGAGATAATCAGTATTCTAGGTAACACTACAGACCTGTGAAGCCACAGAAAGGGACACTGGAGGATCCATCCCAGATTGTCACTCTTTATAAAAGATGACCCCAGAAGCGGTAGATGACAGCATCTCTAACCTTACTGTCCACTGAAACCGTTCACATCCGAATCGTATGAACCAGATTCCGACTCCATAGTTCTGGGGTGGAACCTGAGATTCTGAATCCCTGAGAAGCCTCCAAGTGACACCCATGTGCTGGTCTGTGAACCACACCTTGACCAGCAGGGTCTTAGATGTTCCCTAGAATGCTGCCATCTCTCTGCTCCCTCCATCCCGCCTCTCTCTGGATGCCACACAGTGCCTTATTCAGACTTAAGAATAAAGCCACATGCCACTCTGCACCCAATTTCTTCTTTAGTCTTTATATAATTTGTAGGAGTCGGGGACCATCTCTCAACCACCTCTCATTCCAAGGACCCGCTTTCTCCAAGTTAAGGAACACGGAATGCAAAGTCTCCTCGGCCTCCAGGGGTCCCGCCCTCGCATCAGCAGCAGCAGAGAACACGAGTGACTACGTGCAAAGCCCCCACTAGTACATATTCAGTCGACAAGCTGATCCACTGAGTCCTGGATCCAGCGCAAGTCCCTGTCAAATGTCAAAAAGATCGTGCTAGCTCTCCTTTGACACTTTATTATTGTTATTAACAGCACTCTTCACTGTCAGGAGCAACATATTATTAGAGACGGAACCCTGAGAGATGCAAATTTGGAGGAAAATCTGTCTGTATGCCAGATGCCAGATGCCTAAACCAAAATTTGGATGAAGAGCTCACATTTGAAAGGATGGGTAAATCATTTCTACCGCTTTTATTCCAACGTGTCCACTTTCGATCGCGTTCCTTGATGTATACATTTTTGCCAAATTGGTTTTCCTGTATAGTCATCCATCTATATGTTGTTCTGAAAATTACACATTTTCCCATTGGCCATCTGTGCTTCCCTCTGATTTATTTTTACTATAAGAGGTTTTGTCAAAAAAAATTTTATCACGTTCTATGGTATGTCGTTGTGGTTTGGCATCATAAAATATGGCCCCTGCATTTATTAACCTCAGATACCTGTTGACCACAAAGATGAGATCTGCAACAAAAACTCTATTTTAAAAAGAGGAAAAGTGAGCCTTCACTTTGAAAGAACACTCAGTTGTATGAGATTACTACAACTCAACAACAAAGATCAAGATTACATCTTAATTTCGATCATAACCATATGTCTCTGTTTCCCATCTTTTTATTAAATTACTTGATGGATGACAGTTACCACCTCGGCTTTCTTTCGACTAGAAAGAACATTTTTAGGTATTTTATTTTTCATAAAAATATGAACTAGAAAAGCTGTTAAATCAGTTTTACTTTGGCCTCAAAATGATCCTTTCAGAGTCTGCAAATCCCTACCTCTTTGGTTATGGTGGTTAAAAATAAACCACCTACTTAACCAAACATTTAACAAAAATATTCTTCCCACCCTTTGGTGAATTCTTCCAGAATAACTAACGATCTGATAATACAGGATCTCAAAAAATAATTTACAAGAAGCATTTAGACTGTAGAGATTTCAATGGGGGAGGGAGTGGTATTTTAGTCAATTTTACTTTTAAACATTGAAGAGTGTCATCAATATTTTATCAGCTTTGGTCAAGTAGGATCAGATGTTCCTGTCAGCCATATACTTTTCTTGGCCTTTTCTCTTTTTGGCCCCTGAATATCAGCACATTTTGTAAACTGTAGTAAAATACATAACATGCTTCTTGAAATCAAATCCACTGGTAATCATTTCTAGGCTTTTTGCTCCTGTTAGGTCCTATAAAATAATAACACCGGTAATTCTCCCTAGAGACTATAAAAGGAAGCACTGAAGTGATTCTCTTCTCAAAGGTAATTCTTCAGATTGAAACAAAAAAGTCCGAAAAAATTTTTGGCAAGAACTATTCCTCTTACATTTTCATAAATTAGCAATTTTAGATGTAAGGTGCAGATGTTAATTACAATTCTTTTCCTCCCCCAAAGAATCACACACACAAAAAGAACTTTATGGTAACATGACAGAAGCTCTATCTAACACAGTGCGGGGGGCGAGGGGGGATCATATCGCAGATATTCTTCAAAGCTACAGGCATCGATCACTTCAACTAAAGTCAGAGCATGAGAATTCACAGCTAAGAATCAATTCTTCTGTGCTTCATGCAGACACAGTAGACGCAAGTTTGCTCAGCAGAGGAACTAAGTGATGTGCATTCTAGATCGTGAACACTAATTAAAAGATACTAAAATTCCAGTGAACTTTAAGTCATACCCCCGTTATAGAAATAGAACACAAGTTCACAGCCAATGCAAATTCTGTCTCCGATGAGACAAAGTAAAGCATCCACAGCTGAATGTTCTTTAAGTCATTTGGTCACGCCCACTGGGGATGTGGCACACCTACAGGTTGGGGTCCCCAGGCTTTTGGAAAGTCAGCTTACCCTTCACAAACACAGCTGAGCTTTCAGGGGACAGGGGCTGCACTGGTTTTCCTCTTTGGATAGATTTTACTAATTGAGTCAGAAAAGGATTGCCCCCGAGTCCTCTGGTGCAGTCTGTTCTCCTAATTGGGTGGTTCTCAAATTTTAGTACAAAGAAGGAACCCCCGGGGGAGTCTGTGTAAGATGCAGATTGCCAGGACCCAAGCTGGAACTCCCCATTTCAACAAGCTACTCAGACCAGGTTACTGTGGTGCTGGGGATCCTTGGACCCCAAGTTTGAGGAACCCTAGAGGGATACCATGTATCCCAAGATCTCACTGGATAGCAAATGCTGAATCTTTGAACCTCAACAGCTGGCAAGCAAGGGGAACACTTTGGGTAGGAAGGAATAATCACAGTAGGGTTAGCCGGGTGAGTTTCGTCCAAGCGAAGAGGGTGGGAAGCAACAACCCTGACTACTTCACAGGCTCAGGCCAGTCCTTGGCCCAGGAGCCCACCCACACGCCAACCACCGCATCTCAGACCTGAGACTTCCATCTCAGACTCACATTCAACCAGACATGCACCTACCCAGCCTCCGTTATCCTGGATCCAGGTGTGCAGGTGCCGGTTCAGGTACTCTGTCATCCACAGGGCGATGCTGTCCACCAGGGGCGACATCTCCCGGTTGACGCTCTCCACACACATGACCCCACCGAACTCAAAGAAGGCCACAATCCTCCCCCAGTTCACCCCATCCCTGAAGAGCTCCTCCACCACCGTGGCAAAGCGTCCCCTCGCGGTGAAGGGCGTCAGGTGCAGCTGGCTGGACATCTCGGCGAAGTCCCGGCGGTAGCGACGGGAGAAGTCATCGCCGGCCTGGCGCAGGGTCAGGTGGACCACAGGTGGCACGGGGCTGAGCGCTGGCCCCGCGGCGGCGGCGGGGGCGGCCGGGGGCGGCGGTGGCGAGGTCCTGGCGGGCGCGGGGGCGCGTCCGGGCTGGGAGGAGAAGATGCCAGGCGCGGGGGTGGCCCCCGGGGGCGCGGCGCCCACGTCTCCGGCATCCCATTCGTAGCCCCTCTGCGACAGCTTATAGTGGATGTACTTCATCACTATCTCCCGGTTATCATACCCTGTTCTCCCGGCGTGCGCCATCCTTCTCCCGAGGAAAAGCAGAGGAAGGCAGCCGGATACCAACAGCACCTCTTGCCCCCGTCCCCGCCCCACGGCCCCGAAAGAAAGAAGAATAGTTATAATCCAGCTATTTTATTGGATGTGCTTTGCATTCTTGGATGAGGGGGTGTCTTCAGTCACGCGGAACACTTGATTCTGGTGTTTCCCTCTTGGCATGAGATGCAGGAAATTCTTATTTCAATTCCCTTTGGATCTTTATTTCATGAGGCACATTATTATTAATTATTGTCAATATCAGTCTACTTCCTCCGCGATCCTGAAAGGTTTAAAAACAAACAAACAAACCCGGTAAGTCACAATCAGGTGCATTTTCCTTTACACTCTGGGTGAACGCAGAACACACACACTACAATCACACGGCTCAAAAGAATGTATTAAACTGCCTGGAAATTAAACTTACTCGAATGCACTTAAAGTGAAAATCGCAAATGTTTCTATTAAAAGTTACATTAAACCAATTTCCTGGGCAAAGAACTTACTTGTATTTTCTAAGGACAGCATGATCCTCTGTCAAGTTTCCTTTTTCGTGAAAACAGAACAAATGTGTAAGGCAAGGACCCCATCGATCTTCAGAACGCCCGGGCGATAGCTGCTGTGGAACTTCCAAGTGAATCTGGAGTTGGGGGTGCGTGGGGGAGCGGTGAAAACGCGAAGAACTGGCAGATAGTCCCCGACTTCTTCACAGAAATGTCAATCCGCCGGAATCCCAACCGGAGATCTCAAGAGCACGAGAAAAAAAAGGCAGCGGCGGCGGCAGATGAATTACAATGTTCAGTCCAGTATTTGCATAAGTCCTGTGATTTCCCCCCCTCTCGGCAATATACACGCGCGCACACACGAGCGGGCACAGACATGGACCCCTGCCCGCGGGACCGCTTCACGCCTCCCCGGGGGAGAGACAGGGATCGGGGGCCGGTGGACGCGCCGGGCACGGGGACAGGACTCCTCTTCTGATTAAACTCCGAACGGCAAATGCATTTTCCGAAAAGCTGCCTGATAAATGAGGGCAGGACGCGCCCGGCCCGCCGGTGCAGAGCCGAGGAGCCCGCGCTGTGTGTGGTGCGGCGAGGGGTGGGGAGAAGGAGATGGTGGGGGAGGGTTTTATTTTTTCCCTCTTTTCCTAAAAAGGATGACTGCTACGAAGTTCTCCCCCCTGGACCCCCTCTTCCGCTGCACCCCACCGGCGCACCCCGCCTCCGGGCTGCGCACCCTTTCTCCTCCTCCTGCTCCTGCGCGGCGGCGCTGGCGGCGGCCGTGCCCCGCGCTCCCGCCGCGCACCCGCTCTGGGCGATGACGGCCGCGCCGGCGGGGAGGGCCCGGCGCCCGGCACCTTCGCTGGAGCGGCGGCGGCGGCGGCTCGGCGGGGAAACCGAGAGCGGCGGGCGGGCGGGCTGGCCGGCGGGCGCGCGGCGGGCGGGGGAGGGGGCGGGGAGGAAGGGGGCGGGCGCGGGGCGGGGGGGCCTGGCCTCTTACTTCATTCTCCGCTCAAACCGACTGGTTTCCTGTAGTACGTCACGGTTCATTCAAAAAAAGAAGAAAGAAAGAGCCCTCCTCTGAGCGGCCCCGCCGCCCCCTCCGCCCGCTCCCTTTCCCGGGTTAAAGGAGCCGCGGCCCGGCAGGGAGCGGCGCGCTCCGCCCGGGACACATGGCGCGCAGGGCCGAGGCCGGGAGGGCGCGCCTGGGACGGCCCCCGCCCGCCCTCCGGGCCCGCTCCGCCCGCTCCGCCCGCTCCGCCCGGCCGGTGGGTGGCGCGGGCGGCGCAGGCCTCCCGCGCGGCCGCGGCGCGGTGGGTGTGCGAGGGCCTCCTCCGGCCTGCGGCGCGCTCGGGGCCCGCGAGGGGCCGGGGCGCCCGGGAATCGCACGCGGCCGAGCTGGCTGGCGGGCGGGCGGGCGGGTGCACCCAGAAAACAAGCGCTGGAAAGACGCGGGGGATCGTGCAGCCTTTCCTCGCCGTGTGAGTGAGTGTGAGTGTGTGTGCGTTGTGTACGCCCATCGCGTTACAGCGCTCGGCCTCCGAGGCCGCTCGGACCTGGAGCCCTGGAGCCCGGGCACCTCGGCGCTACCCTCCGGTGCAGAGAGGAGACGCCGCACATTCATTAGCGTCGTGCGTCTTGTTTACTTTCAAGTTGCTTCCTAGGTGTCCACGCAGAACGCACACTCTGGAGACACCATCCATGACCAAGGCCAGACAGACTCTCAGCAGGCCGGCGGAGGGGCGGGTGGAGGGTATCTGGGACTTTGAAATGGTTCTGTAAATGCTTTTCCTCTGCTGCTGACAAATCCGGCCCTGGGCTAGGGCTGGGCTCTGAGAAGGTCTACTTGGTAACTTTCAGGCCCACAGTCCCCACGCCAGGGTGGGTAGGTTTCTAAAGGCCTCCACGGTCACCTAGCAGCCAATCCTAGATGGCCACACCTTCTCAAGTTAGCTACACACATATATGTACACACAAGCACACACATTTTTTTAATTCATCAGCATGAATAACCCCTTGGAGAAAAGCCCAAGACAGCAATCAGGTTGCACGTGCTTAACTATTTTTATCTCTAAGAGTCTTTGACAAATAAAGCCCCGAGAAAAAATGTTTACTAAAAGCGCAGCAGCTTACTTATTAGGACTCAAGTACAAATATATAGGAACACTGGATTAATGTGGTCATAGAAACATGACAAATGAGCGCGGTACTTTGTATGAATTTGTTCAGACCCTAGCTTTATTTTATCTTGTTCCTGGTCTCAAATCAAAGCATTTATTCCTAAGCAAAACAAGCACAACAAATTATGTTCCTTTGTCATTCCCAATCAGCCCATGGGCCAAGCCCTTGCATGTGGGAATGGGTGCCTAGTCCAAACTTTGTGTCCAGGCAAGAGGGAGTGAAGGAAGACGATCTGCCCTGTGTCCTGATGGCCGTGACCCATGGCAATGACGGGGAGGTGTGGATTGACCTGAGATACGCGTTCCCACAGAAGTAGCAGAAACCCACCTGATGCCACAGTATTCTGGTTTGGGGATCTTCTCAGAATCGTGAAAACCTCCAAAATTACTTAAGAGGAATTGAAAGCCTTAGTGCTTCTGCGCCCAGCATGTGAGTAAGGAAATGAGAGGACAGAGCTGGAAAAGAGATTCTACTTCTGCAAAGGGGCAGCCAGAACGAAACATTACCCCATTCCCAGAGAAAGAAAAGCTTCCTTATTCTTCCTCTCCTTTGCCGATTAGAGCCTCACTTTACAGATGTCCCCAGGCCGATTCCGTATGTGACATGTTGACCATAACCAAGCTTTCTCAGGACAGGTCTGCATGACAGTCATTGACTAAGGATTATATATTTCCTGGGACTTTGTACGGAAAGAGTGAAACCCTTCCTCCATTTGGATTCCATGTTTCTTAGACTTCACTTTAAAGAGTGAGGTCAAGTATTTTCAGAAGTCTGTGCATTAACTCGTTGTCTCCCCGGGCACTGATCTGTGCATTGATGAGGTGGCGGAGGGAGCATTGGCCTGAGTCAGGAGTCCTGGATTTGAATCTCAGATATGTGATGGAGACCTTCCAACAATCTTCCAAATGTATGCTATTGACTTTTAATTTCCCCCTTAAAAAAAAATCCTCATCAGAGGATATTTTTCCATTTTTCTTCAGAGAGAGTATGAGAGAGGGAGAGAGAGAGAGAGAGAGAAACATCAGTGTGAGAGAGATGCATCAACCGGTTGCCTCCTGCATGACCCTGACCAGGGCAGGGACCCAAATGCAACCGAGGTCGTGGCCTTGACCAGAATAGAACCGGAGACTCTGGTCCCTGCGCCTCACTCTAACCGCTGAGCCAAACTGGCCAGGACTGTCTTCCACTCTTAGGAGCCAATAGACAAACCTTTTGCCAGCGTTGCCCGGCTGGATTCTAGGAGGAGGGTAGCACCAGGAAGAGAAAATAGCCAGACGCAGGGAGTGGAGGCTGTACCCAGAGTTTGAAAGGCCTGTGTTTTCCTTCTTTATTCTCCAGTCAGCCAAACAAAAAGCTTTTTATTGCCAGTTTTCGCCACCTACTGGTTGATGTTTAACAGTATCATTCAGAAAGTTCTCTTCATCCAACACCAATATAAATATTTCCAAGGTTTATGCAATTCAAAGAGAATATTAGTTTAATCTGGACATACTATACTAATGTTTAATATAGGTATACATAAAATCTTTCCAACTATTAAACTTTTTATTTAACATGAGAGTAGAAAGACACCATTAACAGAGGAAATTGACACCTAATAGGTCAGATGAAAGAGTTAAAAATATAAAAATGACCCCAAACCATTTAGGCAAATTGAAGTGAAAATAAATCCATACACAAAACAAACTGACTAGAGAGAGTAAAATCAAGTAGTCCATAATAGTCTTCGTGAAAAAAAAAAAAATGAATTGCTTAAAAATATATTTCACAGACCTAGATAAACAATCCAAAACTAATTTCCAATTTCAAGTATCTTCTAAATTATTGTTTCCAGCTTTAATGAGATTGTTGGCATAAGTGTTTTATACATTATAAACTCTTATGCTAAATAGTGCCACACTCTTTCAGATCGTTTGTATACTTTGTTGGCAAACAGTATGTAATAACATGTAATAATGTTACTAATGAGTTACTAATATAAATACTAACAGTAATACTGCTCCCAATTCACTTATGCTCCAGAGTGTCTTCGGCTGACCACATCTGAGTCATCTGCTCCGTGGGCTCTCAAACCATCCTTGTCATCCTCAGGAAACTCTTGCCAAATCTAAGCCAACAAGCTTGGGTGTAACTGAGAAACCCACCTGGCTAATTTGTGATGGGTCCTACCTCAAACAATGTTCAGAGTAATTAAGCAACCACCTTTGAAACGAGGCAATGAACTCTGCAAGTTTCCTAGCAGGCAAATAATGTTTACTTTTGGTTTACAAAGGAAAGCACAAGAAATTCACTTGTAATTTTTTCCCTTTCAAGGTAATGACTTTGCTTTTAAAGTGAAATCAAAGAAGAGGAGAAACTCTAGTTAGCACAGAGCACAGTTATCTCCCAGATAGTAATTCCTGATGAACACATGTAGAAAAATCAAGGGTACTATGTTTGATTCCTAAGGCTGGTCTGACAAAATAGACCATCCTGGGGGACTTAAAACAGAAATGTATTCTCCCCACAGTCCTGGAAGCCTGAAATCCAAAATCAAGGTGTGGGCAGGGCCACGGCACCCGAGGGCTCCCCCTTCGGGTGGTGGCTGACAGACCTTGGCTTGCAGCTGGGTCACTCCAGTCTCTGCCTCTGTAGTCACATGGCATTCTGTCTGTGTGTGTCTTTTTCTCTGTTGTGAGGTCACCACTCATATTGGATTAGGACCCTAATAAGCTCATCTTAATTTATTTCTGTAAAGACCTTATTTCCAAACAAGGCCATAGTCACAGGTAGTGGGGGTTAGGACATCAACTTGTTTTGAGGGTAGACTACTGAACCTATAATATGCATCTGATACTCTTCAAACAAATGAGGATGGTTTATTTTAAGGCCCAAGGACTAGCAACCTTTGAATTTCGAGGAGGAACCATGTTCTTTCTAAAGCTGAAATCTGGCCATTTTGTTTCCTGCTGAAAGTTCATCAGAGACTAAAAATCTCGACTCCTTTGCAAGGCATGGTGGCTTGTGTGGCCCAAGCCTACCCCTGGCACACTTCCACTTTTCTTTCTTCATGTAGCTACCACCTTTGTGTGCTTTCCGCGCTGTGCAAGATCTCCCTCGCCTTTGCCTCTGCACACCTGCTTGTCTCCCTGAGATGCACCCAACCTGCTCATGGCAAATTCATCCTCATTCTTCAAGTTTCGTCTCCTCTGTGAGACCATCCCTGACTCTCCCGGGCAGTCCTAGGAGTTCATTTGTGATTTAGTAACGAGGCTGAGACTTAGAAGTCAGAAAACAGAGATTTGAATCCTCGCTCTATCGCTTAGCGGGTGCGACCTTGGGCGAGTTCCTGTGCCCTCGTTCATGACACGGACATATAAATGGTGCCACAGTAGTTCCCCTCCCCACGTCTTCAGTTTCACTTACCCATCGTCAACTGAAGTCCAAAAATATTAAATGGAAAATCCCAAAAGGAGGCGATGCCTAAGTTTCAAATTGCACACTGTTCTGAGTATCGTGATGAAATCTCTCGCCATCCCGCTCTGTCCCACCTGGGAGGTGACTCATCCCTTTGTCCACACTGTGGACGCTCCCTGCCCGGTAGTCACTTAGTAACCATCTCAGTTATCAGATTAACAGTCCTGGCATTGCAGTGCTTGTGTTCAAGTCACCCTAATTTTACTTAACAATGCCACACTCACAACTTTTATTTAGCACACTGTTTTGCTTGTTCTGTTTCATTACTAGTTCTTGTTGTTAATCTTTCACTGAGCCTAACTCACAACTTCAACCGGATCCTATAGTATAGGAAAACCATAGTATCTTTAGGGATCTGTACCATCTGTGGTTTCAGACATCCCCTGGGGGTCTTGGAACATAGCCCCCTGAATAAGGGGGGGGGGGGTCTATGTACTCAGGCTAGAGTGTGATTTAAATGAGTTCAACCTGAAGCACTTACAACGGTGACTGCTACTGGTTACGTTTTCAACGTTAGTTATTTACATCTTACCCGTAGCTATTGTTGGATCCATGGTGTTAATATCTGGCATTTGTTTTCCTCTAGATTATAAGCCATTTGAGAGCAGGGACCATTAGTTTCCTTTGATCATTCCAAGCCTAGGATAGTGCCTGGCGTTCAGATATTTGTGGCATAAAATCCAGAGGCCCCGAGCCAAAGATAGGAATGGGGAGTGGTCCTTGTTCTCCAGGAAGACTCGTAGACCTCAAAGGGATGAAGGGACGGAGGGATTACAAGAAATGTCATCGCCGAGGGAGGGGCAAGTTGTTTATGGAGCTCTATCCTGAGTGCCTGGACCATGGGCTCATCGTAGGCACTCGACAAATACATGCTGAATGAGAGAAGATGGAAGTTATAAAACCAGAAGTGGAACAAAAGAAATATTCTTTTCCTTTCTTTAAAGGTTTGAAAATAAAAATTATAGAAGTGATGCTGTCTGCCATGCATGTATACAAAATGCTCAAATGGTGAAGCTGGCACACCAAGATGTCCAAGAAATCTCTTCTCAACGTGACCCCAATTTTTCTATTGAGGACTGAGAAATATTCAGGCGTGTTTGTGTACATGTCAGTATTGTATGCCCTTCAGAGTCCAGGAGATATTTCATTATTAGAAAATGAAGGTTTAAAGTATGGGAAATCAACTTATTTGAATATAAAACATAATTACTTAAGAAATTGTACTAAATTCCATACTTCGTACAGTTTCACTCATATATCCCATACCAGAAGTGTTCCAGATTAGGAAGGTTAGGAAATCTTATGGAAGAGGTTTGTGTTTTGCTCAAGTCTCTAAAAACACAAATTTCTACAAAAGTAAATTTTCAAATCTGCAAAGTTTATTCACCCTTTATTTTTTGCTGGGATTCAGAAATACAAGGTATGACAATCAGGTTACAGTTTTGCCGCAAAAGCTTCCAAAGTAGCAAACGCAAGTTCTCAGATATATCAAAATAACCATGTGCACTGTTGTGGATCTTTAGTGTCCTGGCTGTGTGGCTCAGTTGGTTTGGTCCTGTACACCAAAAGGTAGCAGGTTCGATTCCTGGTCGGGGCACATACCTACATGTTGGGTTCCATGCCCAGTCAGGGTGCATGTGGGAGGCAACCAATTTATGTTTCTCTCTCTCTCTCTCTCTCCCCCTTCTTCGATCTCTAAAATCAATAAAAATGTATCCTTAGGTGAGGATTAAAAAAAATAAAAATAAGTAAAAATAAAAAATTTCTTTAGAGTTGTGACATCAAGTGTAAAATAGCTATTATCTCCTCTTCAAAATATAAAATTCGCCATCCCTGTATTGAACTAAATAAGATTTAGTCCAGAAAAATGGAAAGTTATAATTAGTAGGGTACTTTTAAAAAATATATATTTTATTGATTTTAGAGACAGAGGAAGGGAGAGAGAGAGAGAGAGAGAGAGAAACATCAATAAGAGAGAAACATCAATATCGATTGGCCACCTCCTGCATGCCCCCCGCTGGGGATTGGGCCCACAACCTGGGCATGTACCCTGACTGGAATCAAACAGGTGACCTCTTGGTGCCTGGGTTGATGCTCAGCCACTGAGACACACTGGCTGGGCAGTAGGTACCTTTTAAAGCCGAGTTACTAAGAACAAAAAGAAATAAGAAAGATACAAAGCATCTTAAGTAAAAAATGTATGAATATCTAAATGTCCTCGAGTAAGACAAGTTTAAATTAGAATATGATGTAATAAAATTAAATCTGTTGATGATATAGTTCAGTAAAAAAAAAAAAAAAAATCATAGTATTGGATTCTTCTAGAAAGACAACGACATACAGTTCTTTGCTTCGAAGCAACTGCTGTCCAAAGACTGGAAACAGTCTCTCGACGTTTACTCTGATATGTGGTTTAACAGAACCAAATACAGATTTATAACTCAACACATGCGTTCTTGATGCCAAGAGGCCGCTGCTAACAGCATTTTTAATTTCTTCTCTTTTCAACTGTGAAAGTTAAACTTAAAAAATACAGAAAACCATTCCTTTGACTTTGTTTTTATTTTAAAAAAGAAAAAGAAAAAGAAGAGTATGTTCTTTATATCTTTTTGAATCATGAAGGGTCCCTGAACACAGTGGAACTTCTATGGCTGATGACGTTGAACACTCTGACATTCGCGTACTCAGAACGACACTGCTGTAAGACAGCACGACCAGTGTGCAGTGCGGGCACCTCAGAGCTGAAACCCGCGTACTGAGCTGGGCAGAACCAACATTGCATCAGAAATACAATGAACTCCTGCCACAGGTAGGACTCAGTCTCTTCTAGATACAACAGAAAGTGCTGAATCAATGTGATCCCTTAAAAAAAAAAAAAAAAAGCCAATAATTTCCCTAACAATCTGACTCAGGGCTTTTTTCTCCCTCCCCCTAGGAAAAGTCAGTGTACAAAAAGTTATGCAAAAACTAGCTACAAAGATGAAAAATAGCATTTGCTTTGTGAGATTTTCATGTTTCTGGTGAAGTCAGATCTTTGCATGATGCTGCTTAAATGTCTACAATCCGTTTATTCCACACCCTCAGGCTAGTTTCAGAATTCACAGTTCTTTCAGGTACTATGGGGCATACGCTCGATGTCACGAAACATTCCACAGAATCTGGGGCAACCCCTGTAATCAAACCCATTGGTAGTTCTTCAGGTGAAATTAATGATGTCCATGAAGTAGTATGAATAAAAACTATAATAATCTATCAGTTCATGTTAGGTTTTGCTATCAAATGAATTATGGCACCAAATTTAGAAAGTAAAAAAAAAGCACCTTAGTTTTCAAAGCGTTTTGGATAAGGGACTGGGGACCTGTGTGTGACATCTCTGGGACACTCCCTGACACTGAGATCTCCACACATCATACATCTGCTCTCATGCCTGAGCTTCAGCTGGGCCGGGGACATCACCTGCCACCACAGAACAGGGGTCTCACATGTGTCCAGGCAGTCACCTGCAGTCACAGTACTATGACGACACCTTCAGAAATGAACACTGAAATAACTGTTAATTACTTTTATTAAATGAGATACCATCTTGGGCTAGATTTCCATATAGACCAGCAGAAGGTGCCAACATGTGAAGAACATTTATGAGAAAAGAATAAAAGTGAGAAAAATCCAGATGTGAATGTAACCGTTTTCTTCGAATGAGGAAAACACGCTCTTACTGCATTTCAGAGTCTGCGCGACACGACTCGTTTGCGGGCGATGGCTGCCTGAGGCTGAACGACTCACCACGCCAGGGGGGCACCAACCCGCCCCACCAACGGCACTGAAATCATCCCAAGCAATTTATACATTAAATAGTCATTTCTTCTGTCTCTGATGGTGGTTAAATATGCCACCCTCACATCTTGATTAATAAGACCCCATGGATTAGAGCCATTAAACATCTTACTTTTTTAAAAAAAATCCTCACCTGAGGACATCCTTAGAGAGAGGAATAGGGGGGACGGTGATGTGAGAGAGAAACATCCATCGGGCTGCCTTCCATGGTTCCCCATCAAAGCTGCAACCCTGCCTGTGCCCTGCTCTGGAATCAAACTGGCAACCTCTCCGTGCACGGGATGACACTCAACCAACGGAGCCTCTCCGGCCGGGCAAACATCTCACTTTTAAAAAATTAAGTCAAGAGGTTAAAAACCTCAAGAGCAAAAAAGGCTTTGCTAACGTTGTTAGGTCTTTAATGTTTTATAGATTTTTTTTTTTAACAATTTTAAAAAAACACCTTTCCTCTTTAAAAGCAGTGGTCTGTTCTCACCCAAGTGACCGGGAGAGGTGCCCTGGACACGCATACTGACTGTGAGAGGGCGCGATGCGCTGGGGTGACCGTCCCTGTTAGAGGGGAGCAGTGACAGGACGAGGCAGGGCGTGTTGGCCAAGACGCATCAGGCACCTGCTGTGGAAACCACGCACGTGCACGGACGGAGGGCCGCAGAGCTAACGGGACAGCGAGGACAGGCTTCCTGGACACGCTGCAGAGGGAACGTTCTCGGGGTGGGTGTGAGCCCCCGAAGGAATGGGGTGGGTGCTTTAGTTCAAAAACAAGTATCTTCAAAATTGGCTTTGTCGTCCAGCTTTTTTTTCTTAATGAGCACAATTTAAACACGCCATCACCAGCCCTTCCTAAAAGCTACCTATATACTACGAGAAGAACGTTACACTTCTTCAGCTTCTTTCTTTGTTTTCATTAATTCATGAACTGAGAAAGTCGAGTCAAAAAATTTTAACGGGCTTTTTTTCTTTTTTTTTGTTACAAAAATATTAGAGTAGTGTAAGCAAAATTGGAAAGCAAGAAATGAGGAGACTGAACGATAATGGAATGACATTTAGCTCACTGTGGCTTGTGACAACATTGTCAACGTTCAAGCTTCTGAGATTTTACTTCTCTTCAAAAAACACTTGAGGAGGGTGCCCTTCCCCATGAGAAGAATGGAGAGGCATTCAGATCTCAAGAAGACAAAAAAGCATTCTTTTTCCTGCTGGAAAATGCTTATCTCCTTCCCTCCCCTGAACCACCCTGTCCCATCCTCCTCGGAGTTTTATGGGATCAACGCGCGAGAGAACCCACGAGGGTCCACCAGCAAGCAGCACAGTGGGCCATTGTTATGTGTCCACACTCACCACCAACATGTAAAACTCATCTTGAATAAAACACATTAAGTTAAAGAAGGGAAAAAAAAAAGGCCCCAGAAACCCACAAACTGGCTTTCATGGAAGGTTAAGTCCTCACAACACATTATGTGTCATGAAGTACGTTTCTGGACTTGATCTCTATGGGGGAGAAAGGACAGCTAGAAAAAATGTAGATGACCACTCTAGAATCCTGACCTTGAGCCTACTCGTACCTGTCACTTCCCACATGGTCGTCACCTCTCCCCGGGAAGCAGATGCTCTCCTAGTCCACGTCTGCAGAGTGGTAACAACATCGTCTGGAGCTGAACCTCTCCCCTCGCTTGCACCCAGGTTTCCCAAGTCCACTGGTCCCGTCTGACATACTCAAAAGCAATACACAAGTGTCCGCGGGCTGAAAGCTGGGTCCTGTCCAGCAGCCAGCTGCTCACATCACTTAGAAATGCTCCTTCTCCAAGGGTTAGGCAGTTTTGTCCGCAGTTTCGTATTTTGCTCTTTCGATCATGCAGCGACGAATTATGTTGTCGAAGCTTCCGAGGTAAAACAGGGACAGCATACGGAAAAGGCCCATGGTGACCACCTGTGAGATGAAGACACACCGTGAGCTCGGCCAGCAGTGCAATAGCTCGTTTCAAGGGATTTTAGGATATGTCTCTAATAAAGAGTTTCTGAGCCACAGCTTCTAATTTGCTGCAAGGAGTACAATGGACACTGTGTCGGTAAAATGCTGAGGACAGAGAAGCTGTCTGCTCCCATCACTGGATACGCAGTGTCTGCCAGACAGACAACAACGGAACATCCGTCCAGTTAATCAATTCAAATTAAACAAAGAACAGAATAGGTATTCCTGGTAGTCCTTGGGGTGCTAATAGCCAGGGAAAATTCATTCACTCCGGCATCTCAAACATCCGAAGCACAATCGAGGCTTTTTGGCTTAAGACTGATGTTCTGGTCACAACGTCAGGTGTGCCAGGTGCTCCGACAGACACAGGTCTGCGCTCCAGGAGCGTATTCCCTAATTGGAAAGACAATTAATTGGAGAAAGACAATGACTATTTCAGGATTAAGAAGGCAACTAACCACATCTGCGAACTTGCACTTTTTCCAATAAAAGACTCACTACCAGCACCTCGGAATGGAATTTTTGAAAGGCATGACTGCAGAGAGAAACATTTTCAAATGTGCAAGGGCTCAAAAAGTTTGCCTCCCACACACCCTTTTTTCAGAAAGCCACGAGAAGACGTCAACCGCCAAAGCAAGGGGACAAGAAAGAAAGGCAAAATCATGTGATGCAGAGGCAGGGGACCCCATAGGAGAGAGGCAGAGGGGCTCCCCAGGATGACCGTCAAGGGGGGGGAGTCAGCTATGCACAGACACAGGGACAGCCAGTCCTGATGGCAGGTTCCAGGGAGAATTCCTTCCTGAAGCTGAAACTGAGAGCGCATCTGATACTTCTGAGCAAAGATGAAGACAGTCATTATGAATAACACACAGAAGCCGTACATTAAAAACACCCGTAACAGTTTCAGAGAAAACACAAGTTGGTGCGAGAAAGGGAAATGCATCGTGTATCTGTTTCACCGCTCAGCTGCGAACAGCATTTACACAGCCATAGAAACAGGGCCCTGAGGCGGACGTGACGGCACAGCCCAGGGAGAAGGAATGACCGGGGACTGGAGTTCAGGCCACAGCCGAGCGGAGGCTCTCGAGCTGTCGCTGGTGCGGAAGGGACGACGGGCAGGACGGCCGCACAGAACGAGCGCATTCTCGCGTCCCTGCTGCTGCCAGGCAGGGGCTGTGAGGGAAACGCCCAGGACACGAGGCACAAACTGTCCTCCGAGGGCTCACGTCTCCCAGCCTCTGAGAGGGGGCGCAACACCGTGGGCACGTCACGGAGGGCAGAGGGGTGGGGAAGATCAACTGTGCGTTCGGCCTCTCGGTCTGGACGTGGTCTGCCGCACGTGTTCCAACCTTGTCACACACGGCACCTGGCGTGGGCAGCCTCCACCCTCTCCACGCTCTTCATCCACCCTCCACGTCTGCGGCAGGTCTCGCCAGAGCGATCCCTCCAGTACAAGGCATCGCCCTACTCTGTTAGCATCACCGTGTCCGTCTCTCTCTCCCACCAGACTGGAAGCCGCCTGCAGGTTACCCGAGGCTCCGGCACAGAGCACATCAAGACACAGTCAACTGTTTGCACCCTGGACAAGCCCCAGTAGCCGTTAGAGCGGGGTTGTGTGAAATCCTTCGTTTATATCTCCCTACGCTTAGTATCTACGGCCTGACTCACCAGGACAAGTTCTCACTGAACATCCCAGGGCTGTCAGGCAAGGCCGCACCGAACCTACTCTAGAGAGAATTCCATTTTCCAGACCCTTCAGATCCGAGGACCCAGACTAGCCCCCCCCCCCCCCACACACACAGCAGAGGAGGCTTTCTCTCTGGATGGGCAGCACCCAGCACTGGACACCTCCCCCCCAAATTTCTCAAGTTGAACCTTTCACCTGTTTCCCAAAGACAGCCCTGGTAGAGAAAGGGGAAAAGTTGGTATTTTAAAAAAAACTTTCCACATGCTCAGATCAAGTTGCTAAGTTTAGTTAGCCTTTATTTAGCCTTTTCTCGTGGGGGTTTACTGAGGGGCCCTGTTGGCCCGTCTGTCTGTCTGTCCGTCTGCTGGCCTAGGCACAGCTCACCTGCTGGAGCCCTTCCGTAATGGACGTGACTGGAGACATCCCGCAGGTCAGGGACGACAGCATGTACCCATCGGAGCCAACGGAGCTGTTAAAATTTCCTTGCTGAACAGAAGGAAAAGAAGAGAGAATGGCAGCCGTTACTAACCAGCTCAACACGTCAGAAGCTGGGCGTGCGTCTGTTTACTCTACGTGGAGTGACAGGGCAGCAAACCACGAGTCACAGCTCAGACATGGACGTGCCTTGGCAGAAAGGCCAAATGGCTAGATGGAAGGTTCTTGACATGTGGGTCGGCCCTGGGCCCTGGGTGTCCATAGGGGGAGGCGCGGTCTGTGAGGACAAAACGATTGGACAAAAAGCATTATGGCCTTTTCCACAGAGTGACATTTGCAAAATGCTGGCTCATTAGCACAAACCACAGTTGTCGCTCTCTCCACTGCCCCTCACGCTGGCTGTAACAAATACACAAAGAAAACAGAATTTTCTATTTTCAAAGAAAAAGCCTATACAATTTTGAAAAATCTTGTACAATTTAAAAATGTTAGTTTTGCTTTAAAGTGCCCTTGATGAGGCAGGAAAATGAATTGTTTTATTAAATCTCAACCATTGAGGACATGTCTTCTTAATAGTCAGTTTAACAACAAGAGACTATGCTCCCGGCTGGGCACCAAACCCAAGGGGGCGGCGCCCTGAGGACACGCCCTCGTCCTTTGGCTGAGGCTGAACCTTGCCGCTTTTTCCACGGGAATACCATTTTTACATGAAAGAACCTCGAACAGCCAGCCATGCTTATTCATGCTCGGGATTTGGAAGATATTTTGTGGAAATTAATAAAATGGGCCCATCACTTCAAGAAAAATTGGCTGTGTTTGTGGTCAGTGTTAAAATCTGAGCCTTTCATGAATGTGAGCTTCCAAATATGTGCAGACTTTTATAAGATCAGCAGCAACATTAATGAATGCAATTTTTTGGATAACTCAGAGAACCCATATTTTCCAAATGACTAATACATGACATTACAAAATCATGAATGGGTAAATATTCAAAGTGCAAAGACCAATGGATTTGGGTGCAACAGAGAACAAAAAGTTCATTAATGGAGTCTCCAATTCCACACTGCAACTAACCTTTAAGAAACTACTATTCATCCAGTTTGGGTTTAATACTAAAAAAGAATATCCACAATGATCTGAAAAGCCTATAAAATTCCCCTCCCTTTTCCAACTACATATCTGGGTAAGGCCCGATTTTCTTTATTTCCTTCATTCAAAACCACACATGACAACAGATTGAATGGAGAAGCAGCTCTGAGAACCCAGCTGTCTTCCAAGAACAAAGACATTGAAGAGACTATCTAAGTGTAAAACAAAGCCTCTCGTCTCACCAAAGGTTTGTTCTGAGAAATGATTATAGTTGTAAAAATGTTACACTAAAATGTAATGGGTTTATTATTGTTAATTTAAATGAATTAACAAATAAATATTTAAAAAATTATACAGTTCCCACTTCTAATATGGCAAGTATAACCAATGTAAACCAAAGTTCTCTGGGGTTGTCAACCATTTAGAGTGGAAAGTGGTGAAGAGGTGAAGAAGTTTGAACACCACCAGATGAAACGAATCCCGCCAAGATACAAAGAGCTGTTTCAGATCATTAAAAACACTGAGTGTGTTTGCTTTGACCTGAGATAAGCAGGAAAAAGAGAGCCCGCCCCCTCCACGGTGCCGTCTTTCTATGCCTTTGAACACAACAGGGCAAAGTTCTGCCAACGTCTGCATGTGTTTTAATAGAGTTCGAGATTTCTCATATTCTGCCCAGGTCGGCCTCAGATGCCGTGTCCTGACATGTCTCATTCCAGTGGTCCCCAAATTTCCTGAATTCAGTGTGGGCTTTAGATGCACAGACATGCCTCATCATTGGCTGGCTGGCTGGCTGTTGGGTTCTCAGGAATGTTGTCAAGAGCCTGTGGCACGTGTGGTTCTACAAAACAGCGCGTGGTTTCTGAAGAGACATTGTTTTACTCCAAATAAACTCAGCAGCCCAGAAGCACATTAGCTGGCTGGGCAGGGGGATGGCTCGGTGGGCTGGCCGCACTTGCTTATTAGTGAACATTTGGGAAAATGATTCTGGGATGCAGGAAGGTGGAAGAAAAACCCACGGGCCTGGCAATAAGGCGCCTAAAATAATCTAAAGCTGACAGTCCCGTGGGAAAGGAGAAAGAAGGGCGCACGCCACGCACAGTAGGGAACACATGACTGACGCACCACAGACAAGTCTCATTTTCTTGTTAAAGAACCAGCATTCCCAGACACCCATGCTGATCAGTCTGCTCCTGAGGGTAAGATATGTAATCCGTTTCCAGATGCCTACTAATTAACATGGGATCGATAAGGTGTCTCGGGGAAGAAATGCAGAGCCCATATTAGATATGATGAATGCAACTGACCCAAAAGATACAATCTGTGTTCTGAAGTAGGCCTTGGGACAAATGTCTTTTCGGAAATACAGAACCACAACGACTCATAAAGAAAACACACAAACAGGATGACTTACTATGGCATCTTTCACGATCTGTTTGGCCACTTGCTCCGGTGAGCAAATAGACGTGGTCTCTGAAATGAGACGGGTTTCCAGAGGCTGAAGTGGAAAAATGGACACATTGATATGATTCAATTAAAAGTCTCAGTAATTCTCACAGCCCCACCCCCACCCAGTTTATAAATAATTCCAGTTTTCAACCTTTGAGTAGATTCCTGTTAGGGGAATTAGGTCCATCCGGATTATACATCAGTTTCTACCTGGTCGTGTGTAAAAGGCAGCCCAGCCCAGTAGCCGGACCCAGATAAGAAGGCCCTGGCCACACTCCCTGTAGGACGTGGTGTCTCAGCTCCAACGTGGACCATCAAAACTTGAATGAGAACATATCGCCGATACGAGACCAGAAAAGCCCCCTCCTTGAATCCTCTGCTGGCCAGACCCTGACCGGTGGTGTTTACACAGAGCCTGGACTGGATGCCCTAAGCAAGTCTGCTCGTATGACCTGCATCTCTGCTCTCCCTGGACTCCCAGGCCAGCGGAGGGCTGCCACCGAGACAGAGCTGAGGTCCTGAGCAGGAACAGCCGCTGTTCTGTTCAACACCACAGCCGTTTCTTAAAGGGCCCGCAGGAGGTTATGAGGAGACTGGAAGATGAAATATTGAGTGGTCCCTCCCACGCATATGCGCTCTTTACTGAGGGGGGTGGGTAGCAGAACCCTAAATCTTAGCCTTTGTCAAAGGTCCATCTCAACTGTCACTGAGGTCAGAAAGCCTTTCGTGAACTCTTAACTGGCAGCAATGTCTCTTCCCGTCTGTGAACACGTCTGCCTTAGCATACATCGGAGCTACTTTTGTATTTACAGTGTTCCTCCTGTTCTTTGTGCACAGGGTTCTGTCCCTTTCTGTTTTTTTGTTTTGTTTTGTTTTCTTTGTGGAGACATGCACACAAACACTCAAAAATTCTTTAAAAGGGAATTTCAGTTAGAAGTTTCAAAACTGAAGCCTTAAACTGCATGAAACTAAATTTTATTTGCCATGCAGGCTTAAAATGATTAAAATTAAAACCAGAGTATATCTTCTTAAAATAGAAAAGCACAGCACTTCCTAAAAGTCCAGTACTTCTTGGCAAACCTGAATTGGGAGAAAGGCCTCTTTGAAGGTGCCACCGTTCATTCTTCCAGACCACCAGGCTGGTTACACCACACGTGGCCAGACGCACATTAGGTTTAGAAGCACTATGGCGCCCCCTGAAGGGCTCAAAGACCAACACAGGATTTGATTTGCCCCAAGAAGAAGGCCCAACATTTCAGTGGACGGAAAAAACAACAACCAATGTAACATCAAAATGAAATCTTCACAGGGAAATCACCACCCTTTGTCAGCTTTGGCTTCAATTGAAAGACTGCTTCGCAAACGCTACAAATCTGCTTAGCAGGTTCCCTGCACATTCTAGAACAGAAATTTGGCTTAAATTTACTGCTTTGAAATAGCAGTAATTTTAAAAAGAGGCAGAGCCAAAGAGAAATGAGTAGAAAAAAAGCTTCTACATCATAAACACCTTTTAGCAAATGTACTGTCTGCGGAGCGTAAGTGCCCGGTTTTATGCGGCGGAGATTCACACTGAGCATCATTAGAGAAGAAGGAAAGCGAGCAACGCCCGGTTCAAGGCAACACGTTCTGATGGGTTCCTTTCTTCTCCACTTTACTCCTTTGCTCAGTGACCACTGTGCATCAAGGCACAGCGGAGGTTCCTTTGAACAACGCAGAGCTTGCATGCTGCTTAATGTACCTGCCCGGTGGTGGAATGATAAAGCAGAGGATGCTGAACGCCTAGGGATGCCAGGAGAGAAGCAGAGGGCAGGGGCGTGGCCTCTACAGAGAAACCAGGGAGTGAGCCACTCAAACATCCAGAGGGGACAGCGAGGGGGAAGCCTGCAGGTGACCACAGGGACAGCCCCGGCAAGCTCACAGAACCGAGCACAAGAGGCGGGGACGTGCTGCGGGCAGGCAGGTGGCCAAGGCCCAGACACTGCGGGCCCCGTCAGCCTCAAGGACGCCGGGCTCTGTTCTGGGCTGATGGGGCCACGGGAGCTGTGCGCTCCAGTGCGTAGCCACTACCAACACGCAATGTTTCATTTTAACTTCATATCACTTTAAAAAAAAAGAAAAATTCTATTTCTCAACCCCCTCACCAGATTTCAGGTGCTCCAGAGTCACAATGTGACTACCATATTAGAGAGGAAAACATAGAACATTTCCATCATTCTAGAACATTCTATTGTATTGGACTGCGCTGCCCAAGAGGTGTTTGGCCTTTTCTTCTTCTTCTTTTTTTTTTGCACAAGAGAATTTGAAATAGAAAAGTGGCAAGACCTGATTTAAGCTTTAAAAAGGCCACCTGCGACCTCATGAAGAACAGACCCCAAGGGAGGTGAACAGAAGCAGGTAGACCATTCGAAGGCTAGTAAAGTAGTCCAGGCAAAAATATCAGTGGCACCAGGCTGGTGTGGCTCAGTGGCTGAGCGTGGACTCATGCACCAGGAGGTCGCCAGTTCGATTCCCGGTCAGGGCACATGCCCAGGTTATGGGCCCGATCCCCAGTGGGGGGCGTGCAGGAGGCAGCCCATCGATATTCTCTCTCATTGATGTTTCTATCTTTCTCTCTCTCTCCATCTCCCTTCCTCTCTCTCTAAAATCAATAAAGAAAAAATTTATAAAGAAAAAGATCAGTGGCTGTCGCTGCTAGAACGGTGGTGACAAGTCCAGTTAAATAAATGCAACAGGTCAGACTGGGGACACGTTCAGACAGGAGCCCGCAGGGAGAATCCTGCTGGCTGCTCAGGCTGGAACAGTGGGCGCCGGGTGACGAGATGAAAATGATGAGGGGGAACGAGAGGGGATCAAAAGTTCCGCAGTGGAAATGTTAAGTCTGAGGTGTCCATGAGCCTCCAGGCGGAAACACGGGAACAGCAGCCAGGTCGTCAAGTGCAGGGGAGAGAATACGCGTTTTAAAGAACATCATCTCATTAGTTAAAAATATAAGCCATACTCTCCACCCTAAAGAAAACACCGTATTAATTCAATAAGGCTTCAAAGATTATTAGCACAACTCATGGCCTTTGAAAATATGCCTGCGTTGTCCAAGATTTGAAATGAAAGTTCCAGAAAGTTCAGGGGCCTCTAGCCAGCACATACATTGGAAGGAGCTCAATTTTCTGACTCAGGAAATGGCCCGTGGGCTGTAGTGCGAAGGGAACATCAGAAAAGGGTTTTCTAACGTTAAAGACTAGAGTCGGGGCCAGAGGAAGACTCACCTTCGTCTTGTTTTCTTCTGCAAACCCAGGTGTGTCTGTGTCGGGCGGGTAGGCGACGGTGACATAGACATTATATGGCTTCACCTGCATTTCAGAAGCAACAGTGGCCCCTTCAGTAAACAAGACAAAATGTCACACCCACCCTCCCCAGCCTGCACCGGGTCCAGGCAGGCATACGTAATACACACTGCCCTGATTTTCTCCTGGGCAGCCAAGACCAACGGGTGATTCTGTAACAGAGGAACCGCCACCCGCTGAGTCAGGACATAAAGACAAAAAGCTCATCCTAACTTGCACTCCAGGAGATAGCTGGTCGGAAAGTCTGGCCATGCACCCCTTCTTAGATTCTTCCCTCCCCTTGCTGCCAGTGACGAAAGAGACAAGCGGACAACGCCACAAGGAGTCCCCTTGGTCCCCCTGGTTGGGCTCCATGCATCTGGGGCCCTGAGGGCCCGTCCACTCAGCACAGATGGGGCCTGCGGCTTCAAGGCCCAGCTCCGCTCATAGAACTTGGATTCGGGCCAGGCGGTGAGGCTGAGAGCAAACAAGTTCTCTCCCACTCGTGTTTGAGACAGATCTGAACACTGTCTCCCACGGCCTTGCCCTGTGCTGTGCACAGACCAGAGAACTCATAAGTGGGGCATAAAACAGAAAGCAACAAATGAACAAACAAACAAACAAATAAAAACATGTAGACACAGACAACAGTATGGTGGTTACTAGCGTGAAGGGGGTGGGGGTAGTCACGGGTAAAGGGGGTCAAATACAAGGTGACGGAGGAAGAGATGACGTGGGGTGGTGGACACACGATGATGCAGATGATGTATCCCCAAACTGTCCACTTGAAACCCACATCATTTTCTTAACCAATGGCACGCCAATAAATTTAATGAAAAAAGAAAATTTTAAAAAGCTAGTAAGTGGTCATCAGACAGCCCCTGTGAAGGCTGACGCTGCCCGTCTCCCCAGCACAGGGCAGTTCCTCAAGCTCAAGGTTACAGCTGAGCTTCCAAATAATGATGACAGTGTTCCAGAACAGCCTTCTCCTGGGGTGGGCACAGACGGTCAGGGCCGGGAGAGACCAGTCCAGTCGCTGTCGGAGGTGGTATCCTCTCTATAATCGTGAAGCCAAATGCCTGTCTCAGCCTCTGCCTGGGCACCTCCAGTGGCTAGTAAGCTGACCATTTTATTTACTCATCCCGCAAATACTAACTGAATTACTACTACATGCATCGTTCTAAGACTAAAGCATATGGATGTGCTCTCAGGGGGCCTGCAGTCTCCTGAAATTCTTGGTCAAATAATCTGCTAAAATCCAAATACATTAAACTATACCTATACTTTCTTATAATCGACTGATCCCACAACCCCGGCAGGAAAGGAAATGAGGTTCGTTTGGCTTCACTTGTTCTTGCTAAGTCAATGCACACTCCAGAAATCACCACGTCTCCTACGTATCAGCAAGGCAGGGCAGCTCCGACTCCCTGCTCACCCAGCCACTGTCTGCTCCCGGTCTCTGCCCTCCCCTCTGCCCTCCTCCCATTTTCTCCCCGCTGCCTCCACTCGGTCAGCAGAAAGACAACCACCTGCTCAAGAACGGCTCCATTATCAGAATAACGCTGCCCACGATGTGTGTTCCTAACACACCCAAACCAAGACACGGGGGCAGGAAACAGTGGAGCTGTCGCTGTGAAGTACAGACTCGACATTTCAGCTTCTGTTCGGGCCGTGTGGGAAGAGGTGGAGCCCAGGGGCCGAGCAGAATCCAGGCAAGAGAAGAAAGGCGGACCCCGCCCCCCCCCCCATTTTCTTTTACTTGGTCTCTGCTTTTCCCCAAAATTAACTTTTAAAATCTTCAAAGGATGTATTTGTACCTAAGAGACTGAGTTTTTAAAAAGACAAATGCAACAAAGCATTCTTTCAGAATTACTCATTGTAGCTAAAACATTTCTAGGGCCCGACTTTAGTTTTGGGGCAAGGGGTGGGGTGGACAGGAAGACGTAAGAGTTAAACCAAAAAGAATTATCCAAAGTACTCAACATTTGAGCAATTCTTTTTTATCCTCACCTACATTCTTCCATTTTTTTTTGTTCAAATAGAGTGGGAGGGAGAGAGAGGAAGAGAGAGAGAGAGAGAAACATCAACGTGAAAGGGACACATCGAGTGGCTGCCACCCGCATGACCAACCAGGGACGGGAACAAACTGCAACCGAGGTATGCGCCCTCAGCGGAAACTGAACCCGGGTCTCTCTGGACCGCAGGCCAAGGCTCTAACTGCTGAGCCAAACCCACCAGGGCTTGAGCAATTCTATAAGGTCTGTTTCATTCACAGAAAACACCACACCTTGGCCAAACAAACTCAATTATCCAGGTTTCAAAAACACAACACAGGAAGTTTGTTTTCACGTAAGTTCTGCTATGAACAAACTAGATTTGGATTACTAAATTTATTTCTCCCCAAACCCATCCTTCATAGTACAGGTTTACTTCATTTTGTTTTTTTTGTTTGCATGAGGACATTTTTAATGGAGTCCAAATACAGGCAGAAGTCAAGCCGACTGGCAGGCCAGCTACATGCAGCATGTGAATCACTCTCGTCACAGAAAGGCTGCAGGGACTCTGCACTTGCTACTCATGTTCTTGTCCCTCTTCTTCATTAACACCTCCATTCTATGGAAGTGAAACCAGGCCGCCCACATGGTGCGTTTTGCCCTAAATCAGTGAATCCTGAGCTGGTTCTGCCAGATGAGAGGCAGGGAGGAAAGGCCCTAATGAGCAGCTTTGTCATTTCCAAAACACCCCTTCACCTGCTAGGTTTCCAAGACCAGAGTCAAGAACTGAGGAAACCAGCCAGATGAATCAGGCCACGTATGACTTGGATTACACGCATATCTTCTGCGGCAGGTGAGAGGCAAAGGGGAAGCCCAACGGCGTAGGCTGTGTCACTATTTAGGTCGCAAAGTCGCCATGTGGCTTTGAGGAACGCCAGGAACCTCGTTTTCTGATCTCTAAGGTAACATCATCTGCCTCACATAGTTCACAAAACTGTTACAAAAATAAAATGGTGATCCGCAAAGGGACTTTTTCAAACTAAAAATTGCAAAAGAAATACCAGTATTCTGGTTTGAAATTTCACAGTTGTGTGTCCTTTTGGTTAATCATATTGCAATGACCTATTACTGATTTAAGCAAGCTGATGAAAATGAAGTCTGGAGCTGGTTCATTTGAGAGGAAAACGGCATGGTCTACCAGTTCCTAAGTGGTTCCCCAGGACTGTCACCGACCGGACAACTCATCTACCACAATGGCTGTCCAATATTTAGGCACTATGGCTGTCACATACCATCGAGGGCTGTTCTAGAGATTTTCTAAACTAGGAGTCAGCAAGCTACGGTCTGTGGGTCAAATCTGGCCCTTCACCTGTTTTTATAAACAAAGTTTTATTGGAACACAGCCACACCCATTCATTTACACATTGCACACGGCTGCTTTCCTGCTATCACAGGAGACGTGGGTAGTTATACCACCTAACCCTCAAAGGCTGAAATATTATAATCTGGTCCATTACAGAAAAAATGATCTTAGTCATTACATGGGATTCTCAAATCACACTGGTACTATAAGAGGGTTGGCCATAATGAATTCTCTTCTGGGTTTTTAATATGATGCAGTGTTATATTCCTGCATATATTGCAAGAGTGAAATTTTACCTTGCCTTATTTTACCTTGCCTTATTTAGCACGTTACTTTGGAGAGTTCCCAGGTGACAGTAACGCAAGGTCTACTTCACACAGTGAGGCGCAGGGTGTCACACCATGACAAGTACTTACTCTGTTCCTAAGCCTAGCCTTACCCTTCTTCCCCCCAATGCACTATTAACTGTGAAATTAAAAAAGCAATCACGTGTATCAATATTTCTCTAAGAAATGTAAATATAAGTATTAGGAAAGCCAATGATTTTTTTTTAGTCTAACCTTCCCTTTTATAGATAAGTAAACTGAGACCAAGTTCAATGATTTGTCTAAAAGCTGAGAACCAGACAGCTTCAGCTCTCCCCTCAAACACATGCTAATTTTATTATTTAGTCATAAAGGACAGATCTTTTTGATAAAGAAAAAAATCTCTGGAGAATAAAATATCTGGTTAACCCTGTCACACGTGCTCACTCAGTATTAGACCAATATCGCAGTGAAGACATTAGTAGTACGTTGTGTATTAAGTTAAGCAAGCAAAAACCTCACAATCATTTGGCTGGTCACAACTAGAATCATAAACAATAAAGAATGTTAACTTTTTAATTGTAAACTTCAGGCACTGAGCCAATGATCTTTCCCCAATGTCAAATCTACAAATGTCTAATTCGATATAACAACATGCGTACAGAAGCTACAGACTAGAGGGGAACATCTGCTGCGCTGAGTGGGACAAACATAAAACCGAATACAGCGCTTACCTCCATCTGCAGAGCCTCCGCCAGGCCCCTGATGGCGAACTTGGATGAAGAGTAGGCGGTGAACCCGAAGAGTCCCACCTGTCCCGCCTGGGAGGACAAGAAGACGATCCTGCCCACCCGGCGCTCCTTCATGGTGGCGATCACGGCTCGGCTGGGGTACACGCTGCCCAGGTAGTTAATGCTCATTAGTTTCTGCAGGGAGCAAAGAGGCCATGAGGAATGAGGAAGGTCAAAGCCACAGGCAGGGCTCCCGGGAATTTGATCTGCTCCCCAGATTGCGGTTCTTCAATGGAGCCCAACGGACTAGGAGCTCGGTGGATTTGCTGAGTGAACGAATGATTTAAATGAGTCAGTCAAGGAGCCATGAAGGTCAGGATCCACTATTTGAAGTCTGTTTCAATCTGGTTCTGCATTCTCACAACTGCAGTTACGTCTTTGCAGAAAACAGGTCAAAACTAGTTTTCTCTTTGCAGGTGGTAGTACTTTTTGAAAGACAGTTTTAGGAACGAGCTTCCAAATATGTCCAGCCCTTCAGTTCTAAGCTAAAGAAAGACCACAAAGAGACTAGGACAGTGGTTAACAGCATGGACTGTGGTTTGGAGACTTGGCTCTACCATGACTACCTACTTGATGATGAGCAAGAAAGTCACTCTACATATTTCTGCAGCTGAAAGCTAGGGTAAAGTAATGGTGTTATCTCATAGGGCTGTTGCAAGGATTACAAAAAGACACACAAGTTGGGTGCCAGCATAGCCCCTGACTTACAGTAAATATTCAATAAGCATGGACTCTTATTTATGATGAGTAGAATCACACCTAAGTACCAATAGTATATCTCCCCTCATCCTGGGAACTCTTAAAAACCTTCCATTTTAACTTGAAAATCTAAGATCACTTGCATCAAAATGTTTTTATGTTAAAAGTCTTGTAAAAATATTAAATCTATCACCATGTAAACCGAACACTTCATTGTGGAAGCACAGAGTCAATCGTGAAATGTTAACTCAACAGGATGCTAGATAACTTTTAGAAATAATGACCAGAAACATCAGGAGGGAGAGTACTTATTCTTTAAGTTTAGAAAAAGCTGAAGGCAGACTGGATTTAAACAGTGACTGCAACTATCTCAAATATTAAATAAAAGCACATGTACACAGGTATAAAAGCAAGGAAACACAGAAATTATATATGTGATCGTGTTGGGATGCCTGGAATTCCATTTCCCCCCAAATGCCTTTTAATAGCATAATATTGTTTGAATAATAATTATTCTCTAAGACAGTATTTGAAAAAAAGATGGTGCACTAAATCCAAGTGTTAACCTCAGCTCCCTTCAGCGACTCCACTAAGATTTCAGAAAAAAAAAAATATTTTTAACAGCAAGAACCCACAAGAACAAAGAAAACAGGACAGAAAATAACAGCAGTAATAGTTTGGAAATGGAAGAACAGAATGGCAAGTGATAACTAGTTTAACAGAAAGCTGAATGCTAAGCAAGGAGCAGAGAAACTAAAAAGCAGGATTGTACCCCAGAACCCCCAAAAGGCTCAAGGACCTCTGGGGGCAGGAGGTGGGCAGGGAGCTGAAAGACAGGAGTATCAACTACGAGTCTGTTTAAAAAAACAGTCAGGTCCTGGCCGGTTTGGCTCAGCGGTTGGAGCGTCGGTCTGCGGTCCAGAGAGACCCGGGTTCGGTTCCCTCTAGGGGCACGTACCTCGGTTGCAGTTTGTCCCCGGCCCTGGTTGGTCGTGCAGGTGGCAGCCACTCGATGTGTCCCTTCACATCGATGTTTCTCTCTCTCTATCTCTTCCTCTCTCTCCCTCCCGCTCTATCTGAACAAAAAATGGAAAAATGTCCTCGGGTGAGGATAAAAAAAACAAAACAAAAAACAGTCAGATAGGCAAATTCACAATTATAATCAGAGATTTCAACACCCCTTTTTCAATAATTGATAGAACAAGTAAACACAAAATCAGGGAAGATACAGAAGGCTTGGACAATGTTATCAGCCAACTGGACCTAACTGGCACTAACAGAACACTCCCCCCCAAACAGGATACAGACGCTTGCCCAGCGCACACGGAATGGCTACAGAGAGACGATATTCTGGGCCATAGACAAGTCTCAATAAATGTAAAATGTCGCTGACCACAATGGAATTAAATGGGAAATTAATAAGAGAAAGAATTCTGAAAAACACTCAAATAGTTGGAAACTAAAGCACACACTGCTAAATAACCCAAGGGACAAAGCAAACATGAAAAGGGAAATTGTAAAATGTTTTTAACCGATGAAAGTGAAAACACACATGATCAGAATTGGTGGAATGCTACCAAAGCAAGACCCGGGAGGAATGTGCATAAATGTCCGTGTTCTGGACAAAGGCCTCAAACCAACGACCTCGGCCTCCACTTAAGGAATCTGTAAAAAGAAGAGCAAATTAGAACAAAAGCAAGCAGAAAAAAGAAAATAATAAAAATAGTGGAGGAAATAAAACAGAAAACAGAAAAAAAAATTTTGGAAATCAATAAAACCTAAAGCTGGTTATTGAGCAAAATCAATAAAATTGATCAACTTCTAGTCATTCTGGCCAAGAAAGAGAGAAGACACAAATTATCACTATCAAGGTGACATTACTACAAACTCTATGGAGGTTAAAAGGATAATAATAGACTATGACAAATAACTTTGTACCTATACACACATTCAATGATTTACATAAAAGGGACAAATTCCATGAATGACATAGCTACCAAAAGTAGTTCAAAAAGAATATACATATATAGCTATATATATATTAAGTAAATAGAATTAAAGTAATAAACTTCCCACAAAGAAAACCTCAGGCTTCATTGGTAGATTCTACCAAACATTTAAGAAAGAATAATACCAATTCTATACACAGTCTTCCAGAAAACTGGAGAAAAGAGAATACTCCCCTACCCATATACCACAAGGCCAACATTATCATTATTCTAAAACCAGAAAATAACAGTACAAGGAAAGAAAATATCCCTCAAGAACATAGAAATATGACAGCATAATCAAGTGGAATTTTATCCCAGGAATGCAAGGTTGGTTTAACATGTGAAAATAAATCAATGTAATTCACCATATTAATAAACTAGGAAAAAAAACAAACACCTCTATGATCATTTGACAAAATTCAACATCCATTCCTTATAAAAACACTCAGCAAACTAGGAATAATAAGGACCGTCCACAACTTGATAAAGGGCATCTACCAAAAACACAACAACAGAAGTACAGCTAACATCACACTTAAATGGTCAAGACTGAACATTTGCCCCCTAAACTCAGGGGCAAGACAAGGTGTCTGCTCTCACACATGCTGGGGGTTCCAGCCAGCACAAGAAGGCATCCAGAAGGCAGCGCTAGAAGTAAAACTGTTGCAGGTGACATGATCTTCGATGCAGAAAATCCAATAAGCACTAGAACTAATAACTGAGTTTAGCAAGACCGCAAGATCAATATCCAAACAATCAATTGTGTTTTTCTACATTAGCAGTGAACACCCAAAAACTGAAATTTTAAAAATACCATTTACACTAGTATCAAAAAATATGAACTACTGAAAAGTGAGGTGCAAGACCCATACCTTGAAAACTACAAAACCTTGCTGAGAGAAATGAAAGAAAACCTAGTTAAGTGCAGATACAAACCATGGCCATGGGTTAGAAGATAATACTGTTAAGATGTCAATTCTTCCCAGATGGATATACAGACTCAATGTAACCCCAATCAAAAATGTGAAATAACTCTCCTACCAATGTCCACAGGTAGAGAAACAAGACACAGCTCCAAGAAACCATAGAGAAAGGTACTGAAAAGGAAAATGAGAAGTGTGTTAGAGGTCCCCAAGTCCACTCCAGTTTTGTGATTCATGTGAAGGTCTCACAGCACTTTGCACAGAGCTGTGCTCATGACTAAGATTTACTATAGTGATGGACACAAAGCAAAATCAGCAAGAGCAAAAGGCACCCAGGGCAGAGTCCAGGGGACACCGGGTGCAGGTCCCCAGGAGTCTGCTGCCCACGGAGTCACACAGGACAATGCTGGATACATGAGAGGCTTTCTCGAGTATTTGTGGGTTAAACGAATACCAGGGAAAGGCCATTAGTATTTACTAAGCAGCTACCATATATTATGTTATTCAATCCTCACAGATCTGGGAGCTGGGGCTGGAAGAGATGATCTGCCTCTGATCACACAGCTAGCAAATGGTCAGACTGGAAACCATTAGACCCAAGACCTCAAACTGGTTTAGCCTGATGCCAAAGTCCACCTTTCTCTCTGCTGTGCCTGCTGTGGAACAGAGAGCAACAGAGAGTGATATGGGAGGGTGCAGTGTGACAAGGTGCAGCCCGTGTGGAAAGGAAACAACTCGTGATTGTTCGTTTGTTTGTTTGTTTTTTAAACAAAAGAGAAGGTTAAGGAAGGGCAGGGCAGGGCAGGGCAGGGCAGGGAAGGGAAGGGCAGGGCTGGGAAGGGAAGGGAAGAAACTGTGAAGGCTGAGAGCAAACTGAAATTTTTTAAAAGATTAGAACTGTGCATTTTTTATGTGTCACCAGCTTCACATTATCGTTGTTTTCCTTCTTCCTTCATCTCACCTGCTTCACTGTCTGGTTATCACCGACACCCACGTACAGGCAATCCCCTGGTACTGTACACTTAGTTTCCTCTATTCTTGCTCACAGTTACACGCCCCACCACACATTCACTTGTTATCCTCCTACTTCCATCGAACACACAAATGTAAACCACCCTGACTCCCTCTGTCCCCGAGCAGACATGCCTGCTTCCCAAGGTCCCAGCTTTGCAATAGTGCATTAATTTACTATAACCCTGCAACTAAGTATACCTCAACCCCCTCGAACTCCATCAAGGGGAGCCCACTGACCGTCCCCCTCCTCATCATCATCGTCATCACACACACACACACACACACACACACACACACACACACACCACTCCTCTTGTGCCGGCCACCTTTGAACTCACTCCCTCATCCTTCCAGGCCGGGATCATGACTACAACTATTTCCGCCCGTTGAGTCTACACACAGCTACTGAAACCGTCTGCAAAGTCCCCTCCGATTGCTCACAAAGGTACACCAGGCGGCTACCTTTAGCCCAGTTGATACGGGAGCCTCGGGCTCTGGAGCCCGCTCTGCTTGCACTGCACGCGGACTCTGCTGACTCCCTTCGCATCACAGGGCTCACGGTGCCTCCCACGGCCCCCCGAGACGACGGCTCCAACGTCTCCTTTCCTAAAGGGGTGCGACTTCGCGCTGCGGACCAGAGCGTCCCAAACCCACGACTGTGACGGAGCTCGAGAGAGCTCTAAGGAAAGGGTGATGCGGTGCTTTGCCCTTAAAGATTTCCGATCTGACGTCCACTTCTTTAGGGCTGAGACAAATGACTAGGAGAGGTTCCGGGGCAAACATGCTTAAAAATGTAGTCATCAATACGATGCCTTCTCTTTTTATTCTGATGTGAGAACTCTTCAAGAGTCTGCTCCTCACTTGTTTGGCTTTTCCACGTCCTGACACTTGACATGAAAATCCAGCACCTGTTGGCTTACGAAGAGCTGTCGGTGACCCCGGGAATTCATCAGAGTCAGCGGTGTCAGATCAGAGGGTCCATCCCCATTTACAACAGGGGGACCTGAGGCTGAAAGACTTGTCTAAACCCTTAAGGCTGGATGGTCATAGCACCGGCACCAGGAGCCTGCCCCGCCCCCTCTAGTCCTCTGCAGCTGCTATGGGATCCGAACACCCACCATCTCCTTCAGTCATAAACCCTCTACCCGCGGACGTGTCTTACTTTAGTGTGTGGGTTTCCCCATGATCCAAATAGCCACATTCTTACTTACTTCAAAAGAAGTAACTTCAAGATCTTCGAATTTCCCCGAAACGGACATTCCCGCACAGTTTACCAGCATGTCCACTGGGCCCAGTTTCTCCTGTGCCTGGAAAGAGGTAGAGGAACAGGCAGTAAGGAAGACAGAACTACTCAGGAGCAAATCAACACCAACAAATGAAACCTGTAAACTATTAGACTGACCTCAAACCACACAGCACAATGGTAAGAACCAAACAAGAGGCACATGAATTAACTCCAATTAGCCCAACCTCTTACTTGTTTTATGACATTCTCGACTTGGCTGTAGTCTTGGGATACGTCAACTGATATGCAAAGCACCACCTGTTAGAAAGAGAAAATAATGACCAAAGCTATGCAGGTATTTGAAACTACTTCTTAAAGTTTTTTTGTTTTGTTTCTTTTTTTTTTTATCCTCACCCGAGGACATTTTTTTCAATATGTTGTTCAGATAGAGTGGGAGGGAGAGAGAGAGAAACATCGATGTGAAAGGGACACATTGAATGGTTGCCACCCACACGACCCAACCAGGGCTGGGGACAAACTGCAACCGAGGTACGTGCCCTTAGTGGGATCCAAACCCGGGTCTCTCCAGACCGCAGGCTGACACCCTAACCGCTGAGCCAAACTGGCCAGGGCTGTTTTGTTTCTTTTTTAATTAAGGAGAATTCTTTCCACAAGATAAGGAGTCCAACTTGGATGTACCAATTGCATTGTTTGAAATCTGCTGACAATGCAATTAGCAGAGTCTAATTTTCCTGGAAGTTTTCATAGACAACTGCTTCGAGCAAACTCAAAAGAAGTGTTGGTCAAAGGGTACAAACTTCCGTGTGTAAGATGAACAAGTTCTGGGGACTCTAACGTATGGCATGAAGTCATGGTTAATACTGATCGGGTGTATATTTAACATTTGCTGAGAGTGGATCTCAAGTATCCTCACCACACACACTTTTACACAAATAACTATGTGAAATGACGGATGTTTAATCAACTGGATCATGGTAATCATTTCACAATGTCAACATATATTAATTATCATGTGGTACACCTTAAATATATACAATTTTTATTTGTCAATTATATCTCACTAAGACTGGGAAAAAAAATAAAAAGAAATGTAAAACTGTTCCTCTTGAATTGCCACTGATCTATAGTGACAGAAAGCAGGTTGGCGACCACCTGCAGCCAGGAGGGAGGCAGGATTGGCCTGCGAGGTGCGAGGACCAACTCTGGGGGGTGCTGGACATGTTCTGTGTCTGCATCTCAGGGGTAGTTTCCCATGTGTATACGGCTTTAAATGGGTGTGGTTTATTGCACATAAATTCTATCTCAAGTTGTTATGAAAAAGAATATATAAATTACATAAAGAATTCATAAAGTGTACACAAATTATATCTCAGGTTGTTAACATCTTAAGTTGTTAAAAAGAATATCAAGAAATCTAATAAACAGATTTAAAGAACAACTCCTCCTGGAGCAATATCCGAGCTGTGGCTGCCCTGTTGGGATTTGAATACCAGCAGGTGGAATCAAGAGATAAGCAAACAGTATCTACTAGCAGAAGCCACCTCGGTTTGGGCCCGGCTGGAAGGCTCAGACACGGGACATTATCTTAGGAGACCAAGGGTCAATCTGCGCCTGTGGGAACTGACCTGGGAGCCAAGTCACACCAGGTTCCCTCCGAGGTTTGCCTGAGATCCCTGCCTCTGCACTGACCACCCACTCAACTGATTCTCTAGACCAGGGGTCACCGAGCCCAGCCCCGGAGCCCACCTGGTACAAACTGGCCATGCCCCGGGGGTGTGCAGCCCAGAGGGACAGGGGGAAGTGCTCAGCCTGTGCTCACCTTGGAAAACAAGTCCACTTAGTCTTTGAAAAGGAAAGGGGGGGGAGGGGGATGAAGCACATATTTTGGTGCTTACTTTGATAGAAATTTATGAGACAGAAATGGAGAATACTAGTGGGAACAAACAATGAGCTTTTGGGTAATGTTTTCAAAGCAGAGCTTAGATCCCTGACCTAGGCATGCTTAGGTTCCCAGGGGGGTTGAGGGAGAAGCAGGAGGTGTTCGTGGCTTCTCGGTCTTTCCGTAAGTTCCCGCCCGTTGACGCTGGCAGAGGAGCACGTGAGTGGGCGGGCGTGTCAGTACATCAACACTGCACTCCCACGTGTGGCAGCCGGTGGCAGTGCAAAGGACACGCACGTGCCGGGGGGCCTGCCTTCCCATCCTGTCCCTTTATCATCTAGCTGAGCAGAACCTGGGGAGGTTGCAGTGACCTGTACAGTAAGGGTGTCAGACCCTGGCGATGACCTAGATCCCTTCGGGCTCTAAGAAACCACGTTGTGAGAAATGAAGCCCTGACGTGGGAGGTCAAGGGATGAGTGAAAAGCAATCAATGGCCGTAGGGTTTCAGGCAGGAAGTTTTACGTTACACAAGGACTCCGTCCCAACGATCTAGATCCCTAACCAAAGGGAGCGCACCCCCTTCGCAGACGCGACCTGGCCTACTCCAGACTCCAGGGACAGCCCGGATTTCACCCCGGCACCACCACACAGGAACTACTTTCAAAAATCAGAGTAGGAATCATGGGATGAATTTTTCAACACACCTTTTTACACAGTATGAGATCACTGACTATAAATAAAACCTATACCACAGACAGTGAAATGAAAAAAAAAAAAAGTGTTAACAAATTATCAGGGAAAAAATGCCCACAGGGCACTGCTGATGCTAAGAGGTGCAACAAGCCCAGTCAGGCCCCTGCAGAAGGGCAGGCTGCCCCTTGCCCTAACCCTCCCCGCCCCGACGTGGAAGTCAGGAACTGTCCACACGGCCGGACGCCTCTGATGGGTGAGGAGGGGCGAGGTGCCGAGGGAGCCAGGGCAGCCCAGAGCAGAGAGGCCGTGCTCAGCCACGAGCATTCAAGCTCCATGCTGTGGCGGATACGTCCTTCTCCACCAGAAGTTACACGAATATGGGGAAAGAATGAGGAGGTCTGCTGAGCTGGCAGCTTCCCAGCACGTGTGGGCCTCAGAGAGGGGAGCGCAGGCGGAGGCCACGGTCCTGGACGAAAACCCACATGTGCACAAGGAGACGTGGGTGAGGATTTCCACCTGCAGCAGCCAATGCAATAGCACAGAAAACAAAAATGCCAACAGCCTGACAACAGGGGACTGATTAAATAAACTCTGGGGTACCCAATACTATGCCGCAGCAGTTTAAAAAGAGAGAGATTTATTTCTATTGACATGGAAGACCTCTAATATGTTCTGGCAAGGAAAAGAGGTAGTGAAAACTACAATGAAATGCCGTTTAAAACCATGGAAAAGGCACAAACTAGAAAGCCAGCCAATACCAAGTGTTGGCGAGGAAGCGGGGCTACAATGGCAGCAACCACACTGGTGTGAGTGTAACCGCTTTGCTGAGGTTGAAGACACAACTCAGCAATTCCAATTCCTTTCTTGCCCATATGCACAAAGAGCCAAACTTTAGTAACAGCAAAAAACAAACCTAACCAAAAAACTAGAACTCAACTTCAATATCCACCAACAGTAGAACAGATGAACACAAGGTAGGCTGAACATATAAGAGAATTCTGCATAGCAGCAGAAAAGAGTGAGCTTATGCATCAACACAGAGGATTTTTTTTTATCCTTACCGGAGGATATTTTCCCATTTTTTGCTCAGAGAGACTGGGAGGGAGAGAGAGAAACATCGATGTGAAAGGGACACATCGAGTGGCTGCCTCCCGCACGACCCAACCAGGGCCGGGGACAAACTGCAACCGAGGTACGTGCCCTTAACGGGAACCGAACCCTGGTCTCTCTGGACCACAGGCCAATGCCCTAACACTGAGCAAAACCAGCCAGGGTGATTTTTTTTTTTTAATCCTCACCTGTGGATATTTTTCCATTTATCTTCAGATAGAGTGGGAGGAAGAAAGAGAAGAAGAGACAGAGAGAGAAACATCGATCTGTCATCAACTGGTTGCTTCCCCCACGACCCCAACCAGGGCTGGGGACGAACCGCAACCAAGGTATGTGCCCTTGGCTGGATTTAAACCCGGGACTCCTTCATCCTTGGGCCAGCGCTCCAACCCCTGAGCCAAACTGGCCAGAACATAGAGTAATTTTTTAAATAGTATCAGATGAAAAAAAGTTACAAGAGAATCCATAAAGAATGATGTCATACAAATCTAGAAAGAGAGAAAGTAAATTAGTGATCGCCTGGGAATGGGAAGAAATGGAAAGAGGTGGGAGGGGAGGGGTGAGAGAGGGGGAGGGGATGGTAAGAAAAGCAAAAAACGAAAAGGATCAACACCAAAATCAGGTTGAGGTTCCCTCTGGGAATGACACACAGGATGAGGCTGATGTGGGCTCAGGAGGGTCTATAGAGACTTGGGAAATCCTGTTTCTCAAGCTGGGTGAAGTGTATGGTTATTAACTTGTTATTATGTTTTATATGAACACACACACACACACACACACACACACACCATTTTATCTATCAAACAATTCCATAACCCAAAAATATTTTTCTTTTTTTTATCCTCACCGGAGGATATTTTTCCATTTTTTTGTACAGATAGAGTGGGAGGGAGAGAGAGGAAGAGAGAGAGAGAGAGAGAAACATCGACGTGAAGGGACACATCGAGTGGCTGCCACCCGCACGACCAACCAAGGCCGGGGACAAACTGCAACCGAAGTACGTGCCCTTAGCGGGAACTGAACCCGGGTCTCTCCGGACCGCAGGCCGACGCTCTAACCGCTGAGCCAAACTGGCCAGGGCCCAAAAATATTTTTAAATGCCCCTTTTCCCTTAAGTGTTGGTATAAAGTTGATTTAAATAAAAAAATTAAAATAAAATCATTTTCTAGTAAAGCCTTTTATTTGATCATCTGTTTGTGTATGTGTGTCAAAGTCTATACGTTATTCTAGACAATTCAAACAGTTTCACCTTTTTCACAGCAGTCTAAGATGTATTTTAAGTTGGAAAAGCTTACATCTTCCCATAAACTGTTCGGAGTTGCAGTAAACCTTCTCCCCTTTGTGCACCTGTGCTGATTCGTACAGAAGAGGCATCAGGCAGACAGTGATTTTACCTGTTTGTCATTGATAGAGTGCTTTTCAATTTCCTTCTTCGCCTGCAGCAGCCTGTCCTGGAAGCAAGAGAGAACAGTCAGTTCTGGAGATTGTCTGTCGTCTGCTTGTTCGTTAAAAAGGAGAGAAAAAGTAATTACTTGCGGAAGTACTTACTAAATTTTAAAAAACACAAGACAGGACCTGCACTGCAGAGCAACAGGCCACCGTTGACAAGCGTACGTTAAGCTATGGCTAAAGGACAGCAAGTTTTAAAATTCACTGCATAGAAAGATAATAGAAGGATAAATGAACTTCAGAATCCCAATTGGCAGTGTTAATTGCTGACGGTCACCCTATCCATTCTCATCAATGTTTTGATCGGACATGATTCAGTTGATATAAAACGAGAACAGCAATATGAATAGGAAATTAGGGCACATGTGATTCCATGTTGAGAGATTGCCCAATATTTTCCTCCTCTGCTACAAAAGCAAACACAGTAAAAATCACTTTTGAAATGGACTGGGTAAATATATATCTGGCTACTCTCAAAAGTACTCTTAAGATAAGCAGAGCTATCCATGTAACAGTAATTCTTTCAAGGTCTCAATTTGGTTTGTTTCACTCATTCTCAAGAAGGCAAATACCAGACTACAGTGTCTTAATTTGCTATAAAGGGGTAATTTAAATACAGGACAGCAGAAAAGCACAAAACGGAAGGCAATTCTTTGGAAAGATGCACCAGTTTTCTAAACATGAATGTGTCTATAATAAAATAATACTGTTCTATTAATAAAGACAGCCCTGGCCGGTTTGGCTCAGCGGTTAGAGCGTTGGCCTGAAGACCAGAGAGTCCCGGGTTTGGTTCCCGCTATGGGCACGTACCTCGACTGCAGTTTGTCCCCGCCCCAGTTGGGGTTGTGTGGGTGGCAGCCACTCAATGTGTCTCTCTCACATCAATGTTTCTCTCTCTCTCTCTCTCTCTCTATCTGAAGATAAATGCAAAAAGAAAAAAAAAATGTCCTGGGTGAAGATAAAAAAAAAAAAAAAAAAAGACATACACAGCCCGACTCTGCCAAAATCAGGATAAAGAATCACATCAGAAAACAGTGGACTTCTCGAGGCCAGAGGCTAGTCTGATCTTTACCTCCAGCCACGCAAGGACCACACCACGAGCTTCTGAGCACCCAAAATGTGGGGCCTGCCAGCCTCCTTTTCCACCTGCCTCATGTCAAATCGTTTAAACCTCACAAAATGCCTTCTTATTAAAGTTGTGTTTCCATCCCCATAAGGTGGCATCAATGCCCAAGCAAATTCTCCATCAGAGAAGACAGCATATAAATAAAAGGTCCCGAATTTTGCCTTTCTTGATTTTAAAAAGAAATTATGGACATCCAAGCCTAATTCTGTGTCATTATTTGAACGATTGTCCCAGAGGCCGGCTCACCTGTGTACCCCCCACCGGAGCAGTCACCATACTCATGCCCTAATTTGCGTAGGAGTATCCCAGGCCCTGGGCAGCGATGCCACGCTGACGTTCCCATTCCCTCCATCACGCCCCTTCAGGCCTTCATCCAGCAAAGACCTCTGAGTGCAGGCTCGGAGCCAACTCCGGCACCGAACAACAGCCATGGGCAAGACAACCCTGGCCACCTCCCCCGCCCACGGAGCAAGAGGACACCATCCGTGTCACTGTTGCACAGGGCAGAGAGGTACTTTGGGCGAGAACAACAAATGGTGAATTAAAAGAAAAACAGACCTGTATCAACTGAACACAGAAAGCCCCACGTTTTGCTGAACTGCTGGGGCGGCGTGCAGTCCCGTGATGCACTAGAGACGTGCATCACGTCACAGCAGACGAGAAACACCTACAGCCTTCGGGATGCAGGGCCGCTCCAGGCTCCACCCTGGCTCCAGGCTCCAGCACCCCGTGGGCGGAGGGCCCTCCAGGGCTGCCTAGGCGGGGGAGGGGGGGCTGCTTCTCTTCCACTTGGCCTCTCCCATCCCAAGGTCAGCAGCGCCTATGGTGTGGCCCAACCACTGGGGCACCACATAAATATCTGTGGAGCTGATCTCACTTCGACCATGAAAGTGCCCTGACTATGGGCAGGGGCCAGGTGCAGGTGGCACACCTCAAACCAGGGAGTCCCAGCGCAGGTGGCAACACCAGGACGTGTGCACCGGATTGAAAGTTGGGGGAGTGAGTAACAACAGACCCCGCAGACTCACCTCATTTCTCGCAACCAGAGTTATGAACGCGCCTTGTTTGAAGCACTCGATAGCGATACACTTTCCGATGCCACTGGAGCCGCCCGTGACCTGCGGCAAACAGGAACAAAGGCTTCTTAGCGCTTGGCATTTCCCTTCGGTGGGAGGTTCACTGAAAATAATTATGATGGGCTCTAAAAACCAACATGAAATCTAGGTTTTTAGCGACTGTCATTTCTTCATCTCAGACTCATGCACGGGAGGAGTGCACACGGGAAGGCTGCACCGTCGGTGGGGCTGCGGTGTCCTCATCCTCAGCACCGAACCACACACACTGCACACCTAGACTACTTCCCGGGTCCACCAGAAGAAAGTGCCCTATAAATCTAGCTAATAAATAATACATGAGTCCTAAGTGCCCAACAATAGAGGAATGGACAAAGATGTGGTACATGTATGCAATGGAATATTACTTGGTCATAAAAAAGAAAGACAGCTTCCCATTTGCAACAGCATGGAGGGACCTAGAGGGTATTAGGTTCAGTGAAATAAGTTAGACAGAGAAAAGATAAATACCATATAATTTTACTTACATGTAGAATCTAAAGAACAATATATAAACATAAAATAACAATTTCCATGAACAAACAAAACAGACAGAGATACAGAGAACAAACTGATGGTTGTGAGCGGGGAGGGGTTGGAGGAATGGGTGAAAAGGTGAGGGATTGAGAAATACAGATTGGTATTTATCAATAGTCACAGGGATGTAAAGTACAGCATAGGGAATATAGCCAATGATACTGTGATAACTATGTATGGTGTTAGGTGGGTACCAGAATTATTGGGGGATCACTTGGTAAATTATATAAATGTCTAACCACTATGCTATATGCCTGAAACTAATATAAAAAAATATTTAATGTCAACTGAAATTGAAAAAGAAAAAAAAAAAACTACTACTAATAGTCTGGCTTTGAGTCGAATTCCAAGAGAATCTTATTTCCTTACTGATACCTCCTATGCACGACCAACTCTACAAGACATGAACAGAATGGTCACCTGCATGTCTTATGATATGTTCAGTGACTGCTTATTATACAGTAATATATGATCGTATGGAGATCCTGAAAAGTACAGCTTTTGTGCCCTCACCATCTACAGTTCAGCCACCCTGGCTGTCTCTCAGCTCCACGATCTCGCCGACTGCACATCGGGCCTCTGCACATCCTACACCCCGGCCAGGAAGGCTCTCCCGCCCTCTGTTCATTCAGCTGGCACCTGCTCACCTTCACGTCTCAGCTCAACGTCGCTTCCTCAGCAAAGCCTTCCCTGACTGCCCCGCATCTCCGCCACCCATTCTTCAGCACTGCATCCTTTTTCCCTTTAGTTTGTGACACTCCCAGAATCAAACAGCCATGGACTGATTTGCATGGTTATTTAACTCACAACCATCTCTCCTACAACCGCCCATTAAAATGCCATTAAAAATACCATCTCTATTCACCCCCCCCCCCATTTTTTAATCCTCACCCGAGGACATTTTTCCATTTTTTGTTCAGATAGAGTGGGAGGGAGCGAAAGAGAGAGAGAAACGTCGACATGAAAGGGACACATTCAGTGGCTGCCACCTACACGACCCAACCAGGGCCGGGGACAAACTGCAACTGAGGTACGTGCCCTTAGCGGGAACCGAACCCCGGTCTCTATGGACCACAGGCCGACGCTCTAACCGCTGAGCCAAACCTGCCAGGGCCCATCTCTATTTTTTGTTACCCCTATAGTCCTAGCACTTAGCACAGTGCCTGGCATATAGGAAGGACTCAATATATTTTAACTTAATAAGATAAATGCAGTATTTTCTTTCTAGTCATTTATCTTTTGCAGACTGTATAACATGGGCCAGGGGAGATGGGCACAGAGGAAGGGGAAGGGAAGTATCAGGACGCAATCTGTCCTAACAGAGTATTGTATCCTACTTAAAAAATAATTGTCATAGTATCTAAGGTCAAAAAAATAAAAGGCTTCACAATATTGCATTCATAGCTCTATCAAGACTTAGTTCAGCACTTCCCTATAGTCAGACATTCGGATGATTCCGAGTATTTTATGGTTAGCTATTAGTGGTGCTGTCGTGAACACTTCTGACCCATCTCCTGACTTTAAATCCCCATGAAGCCCCTCCTACATAGCGCACCGTCTCCTTGGGGCTCCTAGGCACCCGATTCTTCTCTTCAGCCTCATCATTCCAACACTGACCAGATTTTCTTTGGCGGATCATTGACAAACTACCTGCAGAAGGTTATCGTAGATATACCTGTTGCTCTGGCCAGTTTGGCTCAGCACTTGGAGCATTGGCCTGCGGACAGAAGGGTCACGGGTTTGATTCCCGGTCAGGGGCATATGCCTGGGTTGCAGGTTTGATCCCCGGCCCTGGTGGGGGTTGTGCAGAAGGCAACCAATAGATGCATCTCTCTCACATACATGTTTCTCTTGCTCTCTCTCGTCCTCTCTCCCTTTTACTCTATCTAAAAAGCAATGGAAAAATATCCTGGGGTAAGGATTTAAAAAATATATATATATATATCTGTTGCCTAGGCAAGTGGTCACCTCTGAGGTCTCTGCTATGGAACCATTTCATGGGTGGTTTCGGTTTATTAATTTGCACCTGACATGTCTTGGCTGTTCTGAGGTTCCTGCTGCCTATAAGTCCCACCACCCAATATCATCCCCCACGTACCTACATTTCCAAATCCCGCCTATCCCCCAGGGAGGGGCCAGCTCCACTGTCCCCTCCTCCAAGCAGCTCTTCCTGACTGTCACTCAGGCCTGTTGTTTACCTGTCACCTTCTACCTGTGCACAGTTACTTAAGCACATGTCTTAGCTCCCTGGCCAGGCTGTAAGCCCCCTGAGGTCAAGCCCCCACTCCAGTATCTCTCTCCCATTCCTAGCACAGCGCCTTGCATAAGCAGGTGCGAAATAAATACCTGCCTCCATCGACTTGCAGAATGGTGTGTGGTGCCATTTCTCCGAAAGACTTAACGACGAGAACACTTGTAAGTAAAATTTCCCTCTTTGTTATTCAATGCATTAATGAAGTTGAAGTTATGAGGTTATTGAGAAAACGTGCATGCTGTAAAGCGCCATGTAGATATTAGCTATTGTTATTATTGCTGCCTTTTTCCAGACTGCAATACACTTAGCCGTGTGAAATTACTGCACAGCAAAGAATTGTCCGACCTGATCACTTCTGACCTCCGTAAGAACAAGAGTAAGACTTCAACTTCTGCGTCATGGTTCACGGAAAACTAACCTTCCAGTCAAGCCAGCTAATTATTAGAAGGCATCAAAGAACAAGCCGTTTCTAGGCTATGTTATTCCGAAAGTTATAAGCAAATATAAGAGATTTTCATAATGGCTGAGAAAAATGGTAAATATGCATTAAGTTACTTCATAATTGGTCAATAGAATCCAGATGTGGGACACGAAAGGTAACAGTTTGATTTCCTCCCTCTATCAGTCCCTCGTACTGTTCATCGGAAATACCGTTTTCATGTTACTAGCGCGTTAATCACACCCTACTCTTCTTATTGAGGGCAGGAGGGGGAAGGGTGTGATAGGGAGAGTTGCTCCCAGCCATCTCCAAAAAAGGAGAACTTGACTTTCCATTACTTAAGTCAATTATGCAGCTTTTTAAAAACCACCTGATGTAAATAAATAAGTACATACCCTGTAGGACTTCTGCATGGTAATTAGGGAGATAACACTAGTAGGTAAGAATTGTTGTAAAGATGAAACAATAAGCAGTTATGACCTCGTCCATCCATGCTTCCACAGAGCAGGCATTCTAAAAGTCACCCTCTCCTAAACACCACCCGGCCTGGTCCCAACAAATCTCAAGAAAAAGAATTACGTTTCCGCTCTCCTTATGACAAGAAAAAAGAGGACAGATGGTGACATCATGTGAATTATTCATGTCATCCTCACATTATTTATAAGAGCGCTTTAAAACTAGATGGTGACAATGAGAAACTGCTCTTGGTCTATCCCAGACCTGACTGTCATCTTACCTACCTGTGAACTGCAGCATGATGGGGCTGATAGCACCAGAGTCAAGGTTAAGTGAAACTCTCTTAACTTTTCATCACTGCTTTTGGCTTTCTCTCTTTCCAGGAAGTCATACTCTGCACACATAAGTTCTGAAAGAATCCAACTTTGAAAGCCACGCTGTTGTGGCCGGTTATCCCGGGGATGGAGGTGGCCCCTTCGGGATTTAGCATGGTGGTCAAGTCTTGCTCCTCTCTGTTTGTTGCTCTCTTGCACAGAATGCACACACATCAATCTTCCACATCAGAAACAGCACGAATTTGAAATTCACTAGTTTCACCCAAGGAGCTTGGAGCAAACACCTTTCCTCATTCCCTAAGCTCCAGATTTAAAGAAGTGACCAGCCAGGGGGGAGACTCAAGCCTGTCACCTCCAGCACCTGGAGGATTTGTGCCGCCAGCTTAGTAACGAACTGTCCTTTCTCCTAACCTCCCACGTCAGTGTGCCTCCTCGGGGCGGGGGCATTGGAGGGCACCGCAAATGGGGAGGTGCGGGGCACAGGTAGGGTAGCGTTCACCCTCAGTTCAAGAGAGGTGCTCTACCTGCAGAAAGGGGATCTTGGAAGACGCGAGCTTCCTGTAAGAAACCAGCCAAACCCATCCACCTCCCCTTCGCTCCTAGAGCACCAGCCAGGTGGGTGAGCTCATCCCTCGGATCCTGGGGTGCTGCCGCGGGATCGCGCTGCACCCATCAGCCCAGGCTGAGCCCCCGGGGAGCCCAGCAGTGCGGACGGGGCAGAAGCCTCTCTGCACGTCCGCGCGGCCGGCGCTGCGGGCCCCCGGGCTCGCGCCATCCCCGCAGGGAGGCGCCCCCAGACCTCGGGCCACTGCTCTGACACCTGCGCAGGCCGCCGCCCGGCTCCAAGCCGCCCCCTCGCCGCCTCGCCGACCGCGGTGCCCTTGACAAAGTTTCTCGGCCGCCCGGTGGACTCCGCGGGGGAAGTGGGGACGGAGCCCGCCCAGGTCGGGGGCGAGGCGGGAGGACCAGCGCGGCGGCGGCGGCCCGGGCCCTCCGCGGGCTGCGCGGGGCGCGGCAGGTGACCCGCGCGGGGCGGGGCGGGGCGGCCGAGCGGGCCGGGGGCCACTCACCACCACATGCGCGCCGGGCAGGGCGAGGGGCTTGGGGCTGATGAGCGGGGACAGCATGTAGAGCAGCAGCACGAAGGCCACGAGGCAGGTGCCCACGAGCAGCAGCATCGCTCGGCGCGCGGGGATCACGCGCGGCCGCGGCAGGCGCCGGTGTCTGGGCTCGGCGGGCGGCGGCCGAGGGGAAGAGGCGGAGCCGGCAGCGGGCGCGACGGCGGCGGGGCGGTGCCACCGGCTGCCCAGCGCCCGGGCGTCCGGCCGGGCCGCGGCCTCCCCTCGGCGCCCCCGGAGGCCTGTGCGCGCGGCGGCGGCGCCGGTTGGGTCGCGGGGGCTCTTGGACCGCGGAGAGCCGGTTCCGGGCCTTCCCGGCAGGAGGCGGTTCGCGGCGACCTCGGCCCGGCCGGCCGTGGGGCCGGACCCTGGCGGTGCCTGGAAGCCCGGGGATCAAGCTCCGAAGTCCGGCCTCCCCTTCACAGGTTCTGGGCACCTAGAAAATGGGCCCAGCCCGCCGTCGCCCTTCGGAGGACCGGGAAGACCTGAACACGGCGCTGCCAAAATCACCCGGGGGATCAGTTTCCGGGAGCTGAGTTCGTCTTTTTCACAAAGCAAAACAAAAACAAAAAAACAGCTTGAGCTCTAAGTCACACCCCATGTGAAGTGCATAACAAATGTATTCAGTGTACCCAGGGCTGTGCAACCCCCACCACAATCAACGTTAGAACATGTCCTACCCCTGCCCCCAGTCCTGCCCCCCCCCCCCGGTCCTGCCCCCCCGTCCTGCCCCCGGTCCTGATCCCAGTCCTGCCCCCAGTCCTGCCCCCGGTCCTGCCCCGAGTCCTGATCCCAGTCCTGCCCCCAGTCCTGATCCCAGTCCTGCCCCCAGTCCTGACCCCGGTCCTGCCCCCGGTCCTACCCCCGGTCCTGGCCCCAGTCCTGACCCCGGTCCTGCCCCGAGTCCTGATCCCAGTCCTGCCCCCAGTCCTGATCCCAGTCCTGACCCCAGTCCTGCCCCCGGTCCTACCCCCGGTCCTGACCCCGGTCCTGATCCCAGTCCTGCCCCCGGTCCTGACCCCGGTCCTGACCCCGGTCCTGACCCCAGTCACCACCACTACCTCTCGGCCCTGGTGATCAGTCAGCCGTGTTTGTCGCTATAGGTTTGCCTTTTCGGATTTATCCTCGCAATGCAATCATACACTGTGAAGCCTGTTGTCTGGCTTCTTTCACTTGGCAGTGTTTTCAAGGTTCATCCCTGTTGTGCGGTGTATCTGTACTTCATTCTTTTTATCACCAAATTATATTATTCCATTGTGTGGACAGACCACCTTTCATTGCTCCAGTTATGAAGTGGCGGCCGCTCGGGCTGCTTCCACGCTGGGGTTCTTACAAAACCATTGCTGTGAGCGTTCACACTCAAGCTGTTGTGAGGACACAGTTTCATTTACCTTGGGTATCGACCTGGGCGTGGACTTGCTGCGTCCTGTGGGTGGAAAGGGGGTTCTATGGGAAGTAACCTCACAGGGTGATCTGGTCATAAATTCCCAACTGGGCAGGCCATGGTTGGTAGTCACGCCCCAGGAACTTTAGTGAAAGGTTTACCTTAAGTAAGCCCTGTCTGTCGTTTCTGTGCACCTAGGTGTACACAACTTTGAAATGATCTTTTTCGACCCCTCCTTATAAAGTATGACCTCAAGAGAACACATGACCTTATTAATTATTCTGTAACCCATCCCTGCCTTGCTTTCTCCCGCCTTCAAGTAATCTTCCTCACATCCCTCTTTAATTCTAAATGCAGGAAGAAGCCGCGAACTGTCGTTTTTAGAAGCATTTATCTCTGTGTTGAGATCTTGCTTCCAAGCATATACTCCATTTGGCTCAAATAAATTGTTATAAAAATCGTGTACAGAGTTGACCGTTCTTACATCAACAATCTTTGAAAATAAAAAAATTTTTTATTGACATTTAAAGAGAGAGGAAGGGAGAAGGAGAGAGAGCAAAACATTGATGGGCTGCCTCCTGCACGCCCCCTACTGGGGATTGAGCCTGCAACCTGGCCATGTGCCCTGATGGGGAATCGAACCAGCAACCTTTTGGTGCACAGGACAATGCCCAACCAACAGAGCCACACAGGCCAGGGCCATGAACAATCTTATAACTCTGTTTCACCAAAACTGCCAGGCTGTTTTCCAAAACAGCTGCACCATTTTACATTCCCAGCAACAATGTGCGAGGATCCCAATTTCTCTATTACCTCAGCAATACTCCTCATCTGTCTTTAATTATAGCCTTCCTGGTGGGTGTGAAGTGACATTTCATTGTGGTTTGGACTTGCATAAGGCACACATTTTTGTTTGCTCGCTTGCTTTTCCTTTTTGTTGTTATTTTTAGGAATACTAAGGGGCTCGGGAGCAAAGGATCTGAGTTTTTCTTCTTTATTAACTTACCCCAGAGTTAGCCAAATGACAAGGTTTGAGGGCACAGGCCCCAAGACATATGACACCATTTGCAAGTTTCAGCAATTCCTGAACCACCTTCTGTTTTGATGAGTCTCTAGAAGGACTCACAGAACTCACTGGAAACTGTTATACTCATGGCGGTGGTTTACAACAAAGTCAGCTCGGGGCCAAACACGGAGGGCTTCTGTTGTCATTTCCGTGGAGTCAGGGCCGGCGACCCTCCAGCATTCTGTGTGACAATAGGCATGGAGCACTGCCAACCAGGGAAGCTCATCTGGTGTCCAGAGATTTCTTTTTTTTTTTAACTGGGGCTTCCTTATTTGGTGTGATTGATTAATTGCCCACATGGCTGAACTCAGTAGCCAGGCCAATTGATAATGTACTGTACAATGGTTTCATATACATCACATGGTCGGTCTTTCTGACCTGGCCAGCCCTCATCCAAACAAAGACACTTCTATCAGGCATGACCTAGATTACTTCCCAGAAGCCAAAGACAAAGGCCAGACCTTCTCTCGGGCAAGGCCAAATCCTTTACGGCACAGGCCCCACCTGGTCTGTGTTCAGAGTGCTCCTACAGATAAACCGATGCTAATGTTTGGAGGAGGCTCTTCACTCAATTTGATATAGATTTGACCATTAATATTAGCACTGCAGTCTCACTAAGACAAAACAGTGTTACACTGTATCGCCGTACCAGGTAGAAAAAAAGAAAGTTGAGGTGATACGGAGAAAGAAAGAGAAAAGTGTAATTGCAAGAGCTACATAGTCGAACTAGCACCCCCCCTCCTCCAGCTCCCCCTGAGAAGTGGAGGAATCTGTCTAGTGGGGACCCTCCCTTGGTCCCCCTCCTGCTGAGTGTGAGCACATACTCAACAAGGCATGTAAGTCAGCCCTCCCTGCCCTTATCTTCCCCTCCTGTTCCCAACTGCCTGTTTCAATTCTTGATTAGAACTTTAATCTGAGGATGATAGGCAACATGATACGTCCATCTGATGCGGTATCTCTGACCATTGTCAGACTCTGTGGGCTGTAAAATGTGCTTTAGGTCTGCAGAAACATGATTCGAAGGTCCACGTTGGTGCAATATCTTCTGGTTCTGTCCTTTATAACATTTTGAGCACTGCATCTACCTCTGGGCATGCAAAGCCAAGTCCAGAGTCTGTCTATTCTGGGCAGGATCCATTTGTAAAGGTTCAGGGCTAAATGCATCCATCTGGCGCCAGCTCTGGTCACACCCTCCCTCTGGGGACTCTGCCCCATAGCCACTGGCAGCCTCTGTTGTTGGCACAGGACAGTTATTGGCATTTCGTGCCCCAGAGGGAACAAGGGGACTAGATTTATCCCATCTCTGCATTGCTGTCGCCCCTACATCCATTTATTTCATGATCCAGGTGACCACTCAAGGGAGCACACCAGAATGTCCACCTGCTGCTTCTAATGGCCTTCCGATCCTAGAAGGAGGTTCTTCTGATGACTAGCAACATGCCCAGCTTTAATGTACGTCCTTGAGTTTCTATAGGGATTTCCCTACAGCTGTGGCCCCTGCAGGCATCCCTTTAACAGACATTTCTCCATCCTTCTTCTACCTGATCTTGTGGCCAGGCCATTAGCCAGTGCCCAGGAGTTGATTCAATACCCATAGGAACTAACAGTATACAGTTCAGCCAACTGAGCTGCTTTGTTTTTTTTCTTCAATCACAGTGGCAGCCTTCCAAGCAGGATGCTGTCCATTCACCTTGAACCTGACATCCATAAACCAAGCAGCTGGTCAACAGAGAGCTGTGCATAGGACACGGCCCGAGTGGCCACGAGGGCTCCAGGTCCAGCAATTCCTCGGGTGGTTCCAAAGTCGGCCCTAGTTTTTCTGCTGGGAAGACAGTTTATTTCCTGGTAGCATGTTCCTGCAAAACCTGTTCCATTTGGTGATGAAACTCTTCTGGGCCCTGCCCTCCCCATTAGTTTCTGTACCATCCCCATAGATGATGCGTTTCCGGTTGGTCCTGTCTCTCTGAGGAACCCTGACTGATACAGGAGGGATCCCGGGCTTAAATGCAAAACGAGGAAACCTTTAGAAAATGCCCTGGATTCTAAAAGAATGAAGACGTTAGTCAGGAATAAAAAAATTAGGTCACTTATTCACAAAAGAAATCAGGCTAGTTTCAGATTCCTCCGCAGTAACATTCAACCTCAGAGAACAATGCTGCGTCTCTAAGAGTCTCCAGGAAAGAATGTGGAGCCAAGGTTTTAGATCCAGCTAATCTGTTCTTTACTCACCGAACATGTAATAATTAGGGAAATATTTTTCCCACGAGTGCTTCTTGAGGAAAGTATTAAGGTTATTGTTTTCGTCCACCTGGGCTGCTCTAACAGAATCCCATGGACTGGGGGGCTTAGAACCAGAGAAACTTATTCTCACAGATCTGGAGGCTGGGAAGTCCAACATCAAGGTGCTGGTGGTTGTGGGTCTTGGACTTCCAGCCTCCAGAAAGGGGAGAAATCTCTGTGGTTTAAGCCATCCATCTGTGGTGTTGGTTACAGCTGCCCTAGCGGATGCCACGCCACTAAATAATTTCAAATCTAAGTTAGAAGCGTTAGGGAATCCACACATGTTACCACCCCACCAAGCCTATTTCTCACACCAAGAAGGAAGCAACGCATCGAGTGACATTCTGGCACCGACTCCTTATCAAAGTAGCTGCTCCAGTGTGGGGG